ATATCTTGGTATATTTGAAGTCCCAAAACGGCTTAGTTTCAGAAATATCCCAAATTTAAATTCAAAAATGACCGTTAGCTCCGCACCCTCCGCTCATTTGCTCCGCACCCAATATTTCCCACAGGCTCTGTCTGCATAGGGTGGAAATATGGTTTCGAAAATTGTTTATCAACTTTGAAAATTTAATTTTTTTTGAAAATGTGATTTCTTGTTCGGGTTGATTCCCCATAGACCCCATAATACAAAATCACAAAAAGTGAAACATCTTTTCTTGTATTGGATAGATAACATTTTCTTTTACTGGACATATTTCAGTTTGCATAACTATTAGATACATAAGGGTTATATGAAAATTGAATCATTAAAACAGATGTGATTTAAGTTTAAGGGAACTTTCTCCTATACCCGCCATGCTATCTGACCCGAACGAGCCACCTGGTGGTGAATCTGGTAACTACCTACTCGCATCTGCGTTATTAAAGACTGGACACAAAAATGGTGTAACAATCACAATAAAATTGATCTATGAAAAAGTTTGCAGAGAGTGAATGCTAGCCTGTAATGCCAGTAGCGCCAGACAGCATATTTCTAAATGTCAAAATAAATTTTAAGAAACAAAGGAAACTAAAAGTGAAACGATGATAGACTGAAATGAAATTCAAGGTCAAATGAGCAAATATATGAGCAAAGCATTATGTGAATCATGCATTTTGGTATAACCTACAAAATATTTCTAGAAACTTACAAAATGGTTTTAAGCTGCTAAATATTTTCAGTTTTCAATCACAGGGCTCTCACCAGAAAAAAATTAGGGTGTGGTGCTTGTTACTGCGAATACACGATTCGAAGCGTGAGTAAAGCGAACGCGCGAGCGGAGCGAGCCTAAGCTATTAAAAAAATTTTGTAACTATATTCACTTGCAAAAGTTCTTTCATGCATAATTTGTGTACAATATAAGAAATATACATTATACATTCTTCTATTGAATCACTGCAAACTTTCTGATTCTGAATTATAACCTGCTGGATTGGCAGGCCATACTTTTTGACTTCCTGTTTACTTCCTGAATTATAACCTGCTGGATTGGCAGGCCATACTTTTTGACTTCCTGTTTACCGGCAAGTATAATTCACTCAGTATTTCTCAAATACTGATGATTATCTGTCAATTTCACTTAAGATTTGTCTTCTCTAAGGTAGGTTAGTTCATGTTCTTTTATTCTGATTACGTTTTGAGTAGAATTTACCATTAGTTTTATAGAAGAGATAGGTTGAATTTTTTTCAATTTTTTTGATCTTGGCCTTGGGCCGTGATCTGCCGTCTGAAAAGTGACTCTGAAGCTCCTTGCGCAATTATTTTGGCGCAGAAGCGGTACCTCACATTCAATACAAATATGGCTGTCAGGTAAAAGAAATTTGTTTATAAATCGTGATTTTACACGATATTAGCGTGAATTTTCAACAATTTAGGCTGTGGTTACTACAGTTTAGACTGTGGTTACTACCTTCTATTTTGGATAGGTTGTGGCGGCACTCAATTAGAGTGTGGCGCCCCGCCACACTCTTAAAGCGTAGCGAGAGCCCTGAATCATGTAGGATTTATGAAGATGGCACTGTGAAATGTGTTATAATCATGCTTTTTGTGAAATGGTGAATTTTATGTGACTGTGTTTAAATAGATGTCTCTGCTATAGTTACATTTCTTAATGCCTTGTTTTCCGCATTTGATTTTGTCTTCCTCAGCTGGTCAGGGATAAGATTGCATTTTTAGTAGAATACAATTTAAAAATGAAAAATATAACAATTATAAATAATCATTTTCTTAAAGAGGGACATGGGGTATAAATAGGAGGTAGACAAATGGAACAGCCAAAATAACTGTATTTTTGATATTTTCACAAAGCTGGTCAATTTTCTCATATTTCATATTGATTGAGAAGATGTATTGCTTCCAATTTTGTTATGTATGTCTTTCAATGTTTTTAAGTTCATATTCTGCAGTTGGATTTCAACTTCATCATTTTGTTGGATTGTGATAGGACATTTAAAAACACTGATAACATTTTTCAAATTTAACAGTCCTCAAGATTAGCCAATCAAAATCAAGTATTTAGCAATGTTGTTAATTAAACATACTAATCCTGACTAGCTGTGCCATGTTAAAGTGTGGATGTAACCTGATATTTTAATGAGAGTTGCTAGCAACTTTAAAACCGGCCTTTAAAATAAGTATAGGAACACATTTAAAAAATGTTGACATAGTAAATATATCCTAAGGTTTGTCAAACCAACTCAACCAATTTGTACATATTTTAAAACCCATTCAGGTTGATGATTTAAAAAATTCATATTTTTCTGATTTACTGAAATCAATTTGCAATATACAGTAAAACCTGTCTTATCCGAACACCATTGGGACCGACTAAAAACTGTCAGATTAGGAGGTGTTCACATTTTGAGGTTTTTGCATTCGCGGTATTTGGGATTTTGATGAAATGTGAACTAATTCTCAACAAATATCTGTAGTTCTTTTGACCACATTGCTTTATGGCATTCCGGTAATCTGAAAATTCGATTCAAATGAACTTAGTCTTGCTAGAAAGCCCCATTGAGATTGAGACCATTCAAGGTTTCTCTAAAAATGTTGACATCCTGACATATCAAGTGTTTAATTTCAAATATTTGAACAATTCCCTATGAAACATGTAACATTTTATGAAAAGTGTTCAGATTAGAAAGGTTTATTTTTCAAATAACTGTATGACTGTTCACTGTTCAAATTGGAAGGTGTTCACATTTCAAGGTTTTTTGAACATGGGAATCAATGGGAGGAGAAAATTGGGACCGGAAAAAAGGTGTTCAGATTGGGAGGTGTTCAGATTAGCCAGGTGTTCGGATATACAGGTTCTACTGTATTAGAGAATTAGGGTGGACAAACTAATGGGAGTGGGGTGTACATAGAGGGAATTAGTGTTACACCAGTACCTTCGTTATTGCTGCATCCCGTTGGTCAATCACAGTCGCCATTTCTTCTTTCACAATATCAGTTTGACGGTGCTTATTTTGACTGATCTTCCGCAAAAGCAGTCGGCCATCTTGTTTTATTTTTGATGCACTGCCTCCAGGGCTGGTTTTTGAAAATGGTGAGGTGATGCTCTGGAAAGGAAGTGTTAAACCATATTGTATGCTATGTTGAGGCTATAACGACGCTTTAGACCGAGGCCAACACCTCACATTTTGTTCCTTTTTACACCATGCATCAATTTTGCATCTCAATTTTTGAGATTTATTGAGTTGTATATAATACAGAATTTTATATGATTTCAATTAAAACCGAGAATCATCTTTAGTAAAAAAAACTGGTCATCCTAAGTTTTTTCATTATTTCATTCAGTTTATTCTATCGTAAAAACGTAGTAATTCACAGAGCAATCTTCAATCAAATAATCAGCATTACAAAAGAGTGTCCAGAATGATATCATGGGGGTTAAACCTTGATAAAATTACTTCATTTTTCCGCAAATGTCAACATTGAAATATCAACCCATGATCGTTAAAGAGTTCAAAAAACTTTGTAGAGATATTCACATATCTAGGTTTTACTTTTTAATAGTTTTTACTCACCCTGTCAAGATCCTCTGATGCACTTGTGTCAAATCTGTAACGATAAATGCATAATACTAAAGGCCCTGGGCAAAAATTCAAAATATAGTTTAACCATTCAAATATTACTTTTTAATATTTTTGGAAAATGTGCCTTTTAAAAAGAAAGTTGTTGATCTTATAATTTCATTTAATCGAATACTATGAGTTATGTAGTGGGAAATTTTTGATATTATAGGATATTGGATTTATCCTCTGACATGCTTATGTAAAACCTTGAATTGTGAATATAAACAAAACATAATGTTTGCAAAAATATTTTGTAGTGGTCATTTTATACAAGCCAATAATTCATTTTTTACATTATGCAATATATTTTTACCCTAGATTATCATCTGATTGGTTCTCTTGCTGAGCCAGTCGACTTAATGCCTCGTCTCTCTCCTGATTGGCTAACTGGATCCTTCCCATGATAGCCTCGTCACGCTTCTTCTGAGCCCTATAGATCTCATCAACAAGTTCTAAAACAAAGATTGTCACATTGTTTATAGCTAGCACATTTTTGGACTGAAACTGGGAAAATTATGTCACAAAATTCTTGCTTATAGGCCAATGGATGTTTATTGAAAGAGGGAAGGATAAAAAGAAAATTTCCCTCTTTTTCAAGGCCTTCAAGCATTAGGATTCATATATACATCAGAATTGCACAACTAGCTACTGCTGATCATAAGTATTGAAGAAGCACCAAATGTAATGGTAAATGTTCTGTTTTTTGCAAATAAAAAACATGACAACTGTTCAATTGCTAAATCTACAAATTTTTTCACATAGTTAGAAATCTTTACAAATTCCCAGTTAGTTGTATATAATCCTCTATGGCTTATCAGCTACATCCTTGACAATGCTAAAAAATCCCCGGCACAGAAAACACTTGCTCACCTGCAGCCTTAGCAGCTATTTCTGCATCTGTGGAAGCACCTCTCAGTTTGTCTGCAAGTTGCAGCTGTTCCAGCTGTTTTTCTGTCTCGCTAAGTTTATCTGTCAGCTAAAATAATAAGGAAAATTGTAGTTAAAACTGTCAACTGTAACACCTTTGTAAGTAAAACACTTTTACAGGTCCTCTGCAGCATTGATATTCAATGTTAGTAGAATACATTCCATGTCGAATATCTATTAAAGGTACAAAAGGTGTTCAACTTGTTTACTCTATCAGATCCATGTAGAAAATCTGAAAGATCATAACAATTTATCCAGTATTCCATACCTACTAAGGTTCTAGGTAAGGGATCTATCACTGAGGAGTGGGGTGGGATGGATACAGCCTGTGTCCATTCCGGTCCCGCTCCTAAAAAGCTAACTCGATTTACGTTCGCTTTTCCTATGCATACAAAAAATAAAGATTATATTTCAAACTTACGAACGTTGTATATTCTATCAATTCATTGATCTGATAAGACTAAGAAAATGCATATTTTTGAATTTTGGAATTTTATAAGACAATATTGATATATAAGAATATACCTAGAACCTTAGTAGGTATGAAATACACCTGTTTTGTACTGTCGGTTTTGGATACAGGGTTTATCCCAAGGGATATACACATATTTCACTTGGGATAAACCCTGTATCAAAAACCTCCCAGTACATAACCCTTATATATCTTGAATCTCCTTTCAATGAGGAGATTTTGAGTAGACATCTACTTTTATAATAAATGTGTTACCATGACAACTTACTTTTCTGACTAATGTTTTGGAAGCATCCAACTCCTGTAATAATAAAGTGATTTGTCGATTTTGATCTGATGTCAGTTTGCCGCTCTGGTTATTTCCTGTCAATATTGACATATCGGGGACACTTTTTGTTGTCACCCCGGGGCCTGAACCTGTCCCTGGGGTAGATTGTACATTTGACATATCACCGTTTAACACAGGTTCACTATGACTGCGATGTCTTGATGCTGATAGATCACCAGGTGAATTTTGTGCTCCTTGATTTGGAATGTGTAACCCCCCTAGCAAGGGGTTTCCATACTGAAGCTGTGTAGCAGCAGGGGTTCCCTGAGGTGTATAATAAGCTGACTGATCAGGAGTTGGACGATTGGGGGTCGACTGCGCCACTGGGACCCCCGCAGAGTACACCAGAGGGGGTGAGGCATAATAATTGTATGGTTGGGGGAAGGGTGGGCTTATAAACTGGGCTCCAGGGGGCACAAACATTCCTGGAGGGTAGAGATTGTGCTTATGTCGTCTCCCTGAAGATTTATGTGTCTCAGTATCTGACGATTCACTCTCAGATGAAATATCGTGACGCTGCCTTGATTTTGACCCTGCAAACAAACAACAAATCAATTACAATATACATGTAGTTCAAAGAGTACAAAGAGCAACATCAGAAGAATGCAGACGCACATCACACAGCAACCAGCATCAACATTTCACCACCCGCCATTTGTTACAGATATCAAGTTACAAACACTGAACACCAACCGCTGTCTACCAAAAACAATATGACACCACTTATGGGGTAAAATATTACCTTTGTCTCGTTTCTTCTTAGGGGACTTCTCCAATGAATCTTGTTCATCAACAGAGTCTAGTTGTGCTCTGGTAAGCTCTCCTACTGTACTAGTGCTGGCTGTGCTTGCTCTGGAAATATATGTAAAGAAATGGTAAGAATTGTAAATGATATGGGTGCCCATAGCTAGTTTCTTGGTGGGGGGGGGGGCTCTGCCAGTTTGTTATCTAAATAGCTCAGTTTATGTGTGGCAAGAAAACAAAAAAGACAGTTCCACATATTTTAGGCAATATCCCCCTTCCGGCTATGATATGACAAATGGATCTTGTTCTTGAAAGTGAGTTGAACTATTCTGTTATAGGGTCTAATAAAGTACTGCTTGGTCTTGAGATGTGCATGAACAACACATATTATGAAAACACATGTGATAGATGTAAGCAAGGGGCACACATAAGTCTTATTTTAAGATATTTTTGAACTTGAAAAAATCCTATTATCCTATCCTTATTGATAATCAGTTGCATCAGTGACTCTCACCTTTCTATCTACTTCTACAAAGGTTCTGTACTTATTTTGGAATTATGTCCCCCATGTTAGTTTCAATGTTCCACCCCCAAACAACCAATTTAGAAAAATGTGTAATGATAAAAACATGTGTTAAGGTTTCTGAAAGAGGCTAAGATAACTTTAAACTGTGTTAGAAAAGCCAATGGGCCTAGCACCAATTCTAGTTTTCCATTTTTTCCAAATTAAATATCTATAGATGAATTGTTTGATTTACTATATTATTTATAGCATTGACTACATGTCTGTTTACTTTGTTTCTTGGTGATTCTACCTTTTTATTCTGTTTTAAAGTATGGCAGCTATCATGATTTTTCTTAAGAGTAAGAGGTCATTAGAAAGTAAAATACAAGAAACACATGGTTTACAATTTACTACAAAATGCTAAAATAACGATTTACTTGGACTAAGAATTTCCAAATATTGATCAAATCATATCTTCTTTTGCATAATTTTGTTTTTTATATTTTTAAATCTCAACAGAAAGTCATCATCGTGGGAGCTTTTAAAACGTAAAATAGAGAAAAATTAGGAAATTAGCAAGGATTCTTTTTTCTGAGCAAAAATGGATGATTGTTTCTACAAAAACAGAAAATCTCAACTTTATTAATAACTAGAAGTACCCACCTTAAGGAAAGCATCTGTAACTTTGTGTACTTAAGACTCTTCATCTTTAATACAAATTAAAAATGTAACTCAATTTCAACATTCAATAAGAAATAATCCATCAATTTTGTAAACAAATGATCATATCCAATTTTAAAAAATTGTTGTAAGCGCACTCTATTTTAATGTTCTTTTGATGTTCTATTTTAAGATTCTAAAATTGGTTGATCTATATTTCAATCAAATAAATTTTTTCTGGGCTATATATCCAAGATATGTTCCAATCATCTTCAAATTGGTATAAATAGTGATCAATTTGATTGACATCAATGATGAATGTAATTGTATAAGTCTGTGATTTTATTTCTTTATTTCTCTCTCAAGTGAACTGAGGTCCATCTAAAACTTATAGTTTCTGCTATCCATCAATCTACCTATCAATCCAACAAGTACTGTATATGAAACACTACTCCTCTTCCACTTATATCTAAATGTGTATTAAGAGTGTATCAGACCAAAATAAACTGATTCATTCTCCATGAAAAAACAAGCCAGGGTGGTCATGCCTTTTCACATTTTTTCTCTCTAAAATTTGAATGAACTGCCTGCTTTCATGGCATTTCTATACAATTTAAAGTGTTCACTATATGCCTGTTTACTTTATTCCTTGCTGATTCCACTCTTTTCACAGTATTTTCCAGTTTAAAACATGTCCATCATGAAATAATTCTCAAGGGTCTTCTTAATCATTCTCCTCCTTTTGGCTTTTCCAGATCCATGAGAAACAAGTGCTATGATTCATTCCTGCACCTAGTTTTCTCACTGCTCTTGCCTATTCCATATTTTTTATCCAGTTACAGTCATTTCTATATAATTTAGAGTGTCTACAGTTACAGTACAGTTGAACATGGAAAATGGAACACCTCAGTTAGTAAAACTCTTTTCAGAGCCCTAAGACCAATAATTGACTTATATCTTAAATGAACCTCTATAAGTAGAACACCTCCCGATTGGAACACTTTGAAAGATACCAAAGGTGTTCCACTAAGGCAGGTTTTACTGTATGTCTGTTTTCTTGATTCCTTTTTTATTTCTCTAACTTCTCTGTAAACCTGAATATTTCTTTCTTTCTTGCTGATTCCTCTATTTCACACTATTTTTACACCATTTAGAGTGTACACATGTATATGTTTAATTCTATTTATTTCTTGCTATTTCTAACTGGCTGATCTGGTTAGCATTTAACACGATGCTTTTTTCTAGGTCAACAAAACTATGATGATCTTCACAAAAGCTTTGTTTCAAGATAACTTCAGAATCAACTGAAACATCCTGACTTTCAAAATGTCTTATTTTCACTGCATCTACTCAATACTGCATTCAAATGATATCAACTGACTGATTTGTTACTAAATATTATGAAAAGTCAAAATTTTAATGGATGGACCATTTGTCACGTATCAATCATCTCTATCGGGGTATTTCTTCAGACTTCTTTCTTCAACAAAACATAAGAATTTTGAATAAGCATCCATAACAGTTTCTTTTAACAATAATCTTTTTTTCAGAAATAAAAATTTATGTGTACAGTACTACAAGTTTCATAGATCCAAAAATCAACCTGTTTGAATCCATCAATTTTGTGTAATCACTTCTAATGGTCCCCTCTTGGTCATGAAATTGTTTTATTTCTGTTTCACTTCATCAAAATAGTTTATCTTTCACCAAGAGGCAAGTTGTGGTAATTTTAGCTGTAAAACATTAGGGGCTACTTGTGAGTAAAATACCATGTTGGTCATGTTTTGAAATGCAAAATAGAGTGGAAAAGAGTGGAATTAGCAAGGAATAAAGTAAACAGACATGTAGTAGACACTCTCAATTGTATGAAAATGCTAGAATATCAAACAGTTCATTAAAACGTTAAAGAGAAAATTTGAGGAAAAGGCACGGCATGTAAGAATTTCCAAAAGAGGACCATCAGATGCATAGTGAGAATTTGTATCCCTCACAAAAAAAGTTTCTCATATTCTTCACTTGGAAATCATAACTATATTCTACAAATGGACTTTTTCACAATTATCAAAATTAGACACTTTCAAAATCAAAATTCAGCTTTAATAATCATGTGTAACTCTCTTCATGGTTAAAATTGTCATTGAACATTTATTAGCACAGCATTTTCATATAATTGGAACAAATGACTCCTTGCCTTTTCCTTGAAGATTCCACACTCTTTCAAATTTAAAACACAACCAACAATTTTATTGTCAGGGGCAGATCTGGAATCCAAGAAGGGGGAGCCCAAATTTTGAAATTTTGAGGCCCATTTTCTTCAAAATTTGGCCTAATATTAAAAAATATGGCCTTAGAAGGCCCAGTAATGATCAGAAAGGCCCACTTTTTGAGGCCTTACAGCTTTTTTGACCTAATTTTTTTATTGGGTCCACCCAAAGGGGGGACCCAGATCAGCCAGTGATTGTGTACATGTATTTTCCAACAGGGACTCACATAATTAGGGAACAAGTACCACAAGTGTCAAATATACAGAGACAGACATCAACAAACTTTCTAAATGATAACATTCATCTAAACTACTCTCCTATTACTACTTGTGAGTATTAAGAGGTGAACCATTTGTTATCGGGGGACCTAGAACTCTCAGAATTCAATTATCCTTACTGAACTATTTTGAAATTCATTTTTCATCCAATCACAAAAAAATAACCACTGCCGATCCACATCCCTACCGACTCCCCGGAGGTGTGCCAAAAAATTAGCCCAAATAATGATTTGGATATTGCAGATCGTATGCCTTTTTACAACCAAGGCTTCATTTCAGATTCTAGGAAGCTCCTTTTATAAAATATGGGTCAAAACTTTAATGAGAAAGGCTTTGATCATAATATTTTGCCCTCTTTATGACTGACATGATCAAACCTAACATGACATAACATGAGCTAACATAACATAACATGAGCTAACATGACATAAAAGATCAAACTTTACTGGTCACACACTCAATTCAAATTCTATCACTGTTAAATTATATATCTGCTTTATATGGGCTTATTAGGCTTTTGCAGATAATTGACATAGACATAGACACACATTCAGGTTGAGAAACTCTCAACTGCCTATCTGCAAACCAGTTGGGCAATGGACTTAAAACTGATATAGTGAATTGAGGCAATCATATTTTCAATTCCAATATTCCTGACCTTTCTTGTACAGAAGTAGCTAGTAGTTATAGTCACTTTAACTATTTGCTATGGTAACTGAAGAAGAATGTCCAAAATATTTATTTGGCATCTAAATCATTGATGATGTTTAATTAGTACATCATCTGGTTGAAATGATTTATTTTGATTGATACTGTTCCAGCTAATTTGTGTCTAACCAAAGCTGTGAGTGAGAATATTCCACATAATATACATCACCAAGGCTCCTGGCTTACATACATGGAATGCAATAGTCATCTGGAATTAAGTCTAATTTTTCATGCTTTTTTCTCTAAAACTGAATGGATAGGAATTTTCACTCATATGTTCATTGCTGATTCCAAAAGTCCCATCAGTCTATTATTCAAGTTTCAACAAAAAATATGACAATGTTGAAACTGACAAAGGAAATAACTAAAAAAAAAACTGGTAATTTTAACATATTTTGACATATGGTGAAATTCTTCAATCATAAATAATATGCAGTTTGGCAAAAAACTGACATTTGTTTATTACATACTGCTCATATCATGGATACCCTGATATTGAACTTAAAACCAGCATAGCAACAAATTTTATAACCCATGTATTTACAATATATCTATTGTAAAACATGAAAATCTCAACAAAGACCTCTATAATCTGAAGACCTCTCAAGGTAAATCCTTTTTTGTTTCAATTTTATCTGCCACAGACTTCCATGTTAAAAACCTTGAAATGTGAACACCTGTCAATCTAAACACTTTTGGCCCCTCCCAGTGGAGTTCAGATTAGACAGGTTTTACTGTTGCTTGTTTTCTTACCTTAGTTTGCTGTCGTCATGCTTGGCTGAATCAATATTATTTTCTTGCGATACTTCAAAGGAGACTCTCATAGGGTCTGTTTTCCTAGATCTTGGTAAGCGGTCTCGTAATTCGTTATTCACCTCGGGACTTTTGTACATATCAGTCAGGTGATTCTGCAGTCGTTGTTCCGCAGCCTTCCGAAGTGCAACTTCTTTACTGATTTCAAAATCTCTGGAAATTGAAAAACAATGTTGAATATGTCATCTCATTAAGAAGTTTGATTAGTAAGGTGGTATGTAATGAACATAATAAGTTATGTTTTATTGATTTTTGTTAATACATTTCATACCTTGATATAAACTCCTTGTTAATGATAAAAATTGATTTTTAAATAAACAAGAAGAATGTCATGATGGGCAATTTTTAAAATGCAAAATAATTGAAAATTATTATAATTATCTAGGATCGAATAAAGTAAACAGGCATGTAGTAAAAACTCTAAATTGTATGAAAAAGCAAGAAAATCAAGTACTTCATTCAAATTCTAGAGAGAAAAAGAGTGAAATCGGCATGACTTCCAATGCTATTTTCGTTGGTATTGATTTCATTAATACAGATGTCAATAACATGTAAAAATCAATGTTTGAAAAACTATAGGTGATAATCATTTTCTACCTTGGTTATCTTTCACCCTTAGTGACTATAATTTTGGGGTTTCAATATTTTCATAAGCAAAAACCACACAAAACATTACTCTGAGTATCAGAGTGACCCTGATTGAGAGAAATAAATAAATAAAAATACAATTTAGCTGTGACAGGATCTAATGACAGTCAGTCTAATACCCCCCCCCCCCTCTCGCCAATAATTCTTTCAAAATCATGCGGTTTTTCACCATTTTGAGCACTTCTCAAGCGATTTTAGCCATATTTGGGCCAAAATTGTCAAATGTGAACTCCCCCCTGGAAATTTTTGAAAGCTGAACCCCACCTTGGCAAATCCTGGCTACAGGCCTGTATTGCTATTTTGATTTGTAGCAGACTTTGGTTGGTCATATTCTGATGTATGGCTAGATAAAAGATAATCTCTTTAAAGAAGTAGATTCAAATGGTATTGAATGTACAGACAGATGGATGAAGTTTTGTATTTATTGTATAGTATGCAACTATTTTACTAGTGGGCATCATGATAAACCATGACATCTCATTTCTTCTCAGCCTGGTGAAACAGAAAGATGCTATAAGTATCAGAATGCCAAGTAGTGGGATAAGGACAGAGAACTTTGTCCCAGGAGTATATAGCCTTTTGAAATGCATATTCTTGGTAATAGGATATTGACTATAATTTGACCAGATATTATTGTTCCCAGGGTGGGGAAATTGACTCGGTTTCTCACATGGTAGGTACTTTGATAGCCTAATATGTATTTAGTCGAGGTCCCCACCCCTTCAAGTGTGGGGTGACTCATGCAAATTTTTGAATGACGAATAATGACATCATCATCAGTCGCTGATTAGTCGAGAGTCACTTATTGATCAGCCAATGATGGAAACAAAATGGCAGATTCAAAACTTTGTTAGAATGTTTCAAATAACAAATGTTCATTTCTGGCATATTTGCTTTACACCCAAAATACATGAAACTCCATAAAAACATGTCGTGCATTTTCTGAATTATTTTTCAATGAAATGATAAAGAGAATATGTATGTGAGACAACAGAATATTAACGCTGAATATGATCATTGAAAGAAACTAGGCAACAGATGGACGGTGGAGTTAAAACCCTTACAATAAAGTTCAGTTTCGTTTTTCTCAAAAATCCTTGATATTTCGAGAAACTCTATAAAAATCCTTGTTGAGACAATGTTACTTGCCAGAATATAAGTCTTTTTTTCAATAAGTATATACCATGCTGTAAAAATAGCCACACAATATATTTCAAAATTATGTCATTTTTTAAAAAGAATAATATTTTAAAAACAATGATTGAATCAACTTGGAAAATATAAACAAAGTCAACACTTTATGTTGTGTTGGAAAACAAAACATTCAACTGAAATAAGCATGAAAATCTGGCCAAATAATATGAAAATCTGACCAAACAATATGAAAATCTGGCCAAATAATATGAAAATCATGGAAGATTCTGATTCAATTAGAATTCAGATGAGTTGATTGATTTCAGACTCCTGCAAAAAAATGAAAAAAAATACCGGGTGTTACAAACAAATATAAAGAGAGGGGAAGATTTAAGAACTATAATCCAGAAAATAAAATCTAATACACTTTATATAGCACTTTAATAGATTATTTCATTTAGGATTTTGTGGGAAATAATACAAAACTAACAGAAACTTAAAGATTTTACCTGCAAGGGTTTTGATCAATAATTTAGTAACCAGTCTCATAAGCAATATTGTTAATATTAAAATATTAATCTATACAGGACTACTGTAAATCTTGACCTGATTAAACATTGAAACAATCATGATGGTAATCTAACTCCCCCATGCTTTTTTCTCTCGATTTGAACATCTAATTAATTTCCTGGTATGTTTCTGTGTAATTTAGAATGCTGTGTCCGATTGTCCTTTTAAATTAATTTTTCATTTTTTAAAACAAGACCACCATGAAATTTTATGAATGACTCAGTGATCTCCCCAGAATTAAAGCAAGCGGGCGCAACACTCACCTGAGATTTTGAAAACAGGCTTGACCCACCTGAATATCCATTTGCACCAACTTGGAATTGAGAAAAATCATGAAAATGTGACTGAATTGTGAAAATGAGAATTTTGCAAAAAGTCAGAAGTCTTTACCTAAATAATTTGCAGCAATTCTGCTCCATATGTGATGTTTTTGATAGTTGATGGTGTTGTTAATATTCATACATCATATTTTTACAAAATAAGGTAAATAGACACAATTATTAATGAAACAAAAATATTTTTTAACTTATTATTTCGAAAATATTGGCCAAAAGTTCAAAACTGGAAATGACCGGAAGTGAACATTTTTTTAATTATGGGATTAAATTGAAGAATACTCATCAAATATGAGGAAATCGATCACAATGTATGACCAGGTGATGATATTAGAGGTAAATCTATCATTTTAACTTGTGAAAAATGAAGGAAATATCATTGATATGTGGGTAAATGGTGATTAGAATTTTTTGAAAATTTCAGACAAATCTCTTAAACTTGAAGATTTTACGTGGACGCAGCACCCACCTGAGATTTTGAAAATAGGCTTGCACCCACCTGAAATCCAATTGCACCCACTTGGAATTGAGAAAAATCATGAAAATGTGACTGAATTGTGAAAATGAGAATTTTGCAAAAAGTCAGAAGTCTTTACCTAAATAATTTGCGTCTATTCTTCTCCAAATGTGATGTTTTTGATAGTTGATGGTGTTGTTAATATTCATACATCATATTTTTACAAAATTAGGTAAAAAGACACAATTATTAATGAAACAAAAATATTTTTTAACTTATTATTTCGAAAATATTGGCCAGAAGTTCGAAACCGGAAATGACCGGAAGTGAACATTTTTTTTATTTTTGGGATTAAATTGAAGAATACTCATCAAATATGAGGAAATCGATCACAATGTATGACCAGGTGATGATATTAGAGGTAAATCTATCATTTTAACTTGTGAAAAATGAAGAAAATATCATTGATATGTGGGTAAATGGTGATTAGAATTTTTTGAAAACTTTGACTTCAAGTCAATGTTTAGCATTAGATGACCCCTACATAACTCTTAAATGCTTTTTCATGGCATTTTAACTAACTAAGCTACCATATTGCATCCATATAGGGCTGCCATCATTAGTCGGAACGTCGACTTGTCAGTCAAAATGCAAGTTCGACAACGAAGTCGACAAAATTCCCGTCATGTCGACAGCAAACGATATCAATACTTACTTGAAAATATCCAAATGGCCCCAATACATTTCAATACACATTTCAACGTGTTATGTGCGCGTATTCTGCGGAAATATTGTTCACATTCATTTCATTTTCAAAAAATAAATTCACCCGGAAGTTCCCTTCATGACTTCTCTTCTCTCTTGCGAGACGTTGTACGAGATTTCGCCCGAGCAGTCGAAATAAATCCCGGTCGAAACATTGCAGGTATTTGTCCCATTTTCGTCTATAATATTCTATTAACTTGGCATTTAGTAACAATATTAGGCAATTACATACCAATATGAATATAAGTTATATGAAGCTTTTCTTATATGAAGCTTGAAAAAACGAACCAACAACACAGAAATAATTTTTCTTTTTTTCCCGATGATTTTTTCTCCCTGGAAAGTTCGATTGTCGACAATATTTTCGACAGCAGAGTTCGACTGTCGACACTGACATTTGAGTTCGATGGCAGCCCTACGATCCATATGATACATGCATATGCATCATACTTCTGGTGTGATCAGGTTCTATATGCTATGCAGAATAAAGAAATCAATCTCAAAACAAGTCAGTCTCTACGGAATGTACGTCCAAAACAAATCAGCGTTCTAAGGGTTCAGAGCCGAGATATGATGGAGAATAAGATGAGAGTGAAAAGAAGGGAACTTGTTAAAGGGCTTGGGAAGATTAACAGGGGCTTGGAAAGACAAACAAGGGCTTGGGAAGATCAACAAGGGCTTGGGAAGACTAACAAGGGCTTAGGAAGACTAACAAGGGCTTGGGAAGGTTTGAGGGTTTCTCCAAATCTATTGTTGTTAGGGAAATGACTTCACATTACGTTGGATTACCACAAGAGAGGGCTACAAATATTACGTCATAAATATGTGTTGGGTGGTTTAGAGACATTCATTGTGACATTTGTTTTGGGAATTCCTAACAACAGCCAAATACTTTCACTTTCATTATTAGAGCACTTTCACATTTGATTAGAAAGCGAAAGTGCATTTATTGCATTTAATTGATGAAAAGGAATCTAATTGATGATATTCTTCAAAAAACCATTTTTACAGTTTTCTAAGCCCTTGATAGTTATATACATCGTTTAAGAATTGAAATTTTGGTCTTATTCCCCAACAAAAAATTCAAAACACATATAAGAATATATCAGGATATCAGTTAAAATATTTTGGATCGCTAATTATGATCAGAAGTATTGACATTTTCAATGTTAGCGTCTATCACTCAGGTCACTAATTGGCCATTGTTGTGAAATCCTCTCAACTAAAAGTCAAATTACTCATCACATACATCACAGCTTCATCCAACATCCAAAATTGCTTCAAAAGGGAAAGAAGCAGTATTTTATCTTTAGTTTAACTGTTATCTTAATGTTGCATCAGTACTATAAGATGGAGAAACTCTCTACCTCAAGTGTTATACCAATACAGTTCAGCTGGCTTGTGAACCACCTGAGTAGTTCAACAAGTTAAACCCAATACCACGGCTTTCATTTATTAATCTGAATGTTATTGTTGCCGTGATTGGGTTCAACTTCCGTGCCATAGTTTTATTTGTTGCAAATTCTCACTATCAGTTATAAATTAAACGCGCATGGAATTCTATGCACTGCCATAGGCCACTATTAAATATTTTGCATCAAGGGCCGAATAGGCACGGACGTTAAACCTAGGGCGGGCCACAAGATATGTCAGATAAGAAATAAGGCCCAGACTAGGTTTAACTTGTTGAACTATCACCTGTTACTCGAGTCTCTAGCCAATACTTGGCTAGAGGGGATTTCATCTGGAATACGTGAACTCTATTTGAAAAAAGCTGGCCTCCAAGAAAAATGGTGATGTTCGAAAACTGGACGAAATATCGTTAACATCTGACATTAGTAACTGGCTGTAAATTCTAAGTCGGCGATCCAGAAGATGTGAACTAATACACTGATCACTTTATGTGTTTTGGAATTTTTGGTGAGGTAATAAGACCAAAACTCGCAATTCAAATTGTGATGTGGAAAAATGGCGGACATATGATTTCAAATTTTATGATTACGACATGACCAGTTGTTCATGCAGGAATATATCTGTACTGGAAGGCCACGATACAGTGGCCTTAGAAGAAGGTAAACCACCTGAGTTGAGTATCATGGTACAAGTAGGTGTCATGTAAGTGACAATTGCATTTACGGTCAAAATTCTTTTTGAATGTAAAAGCCCCATATGCACTCTGGTGCAAAGTGTATTCTTCATGTCTCACAGTTTGATTCACGTTGAAGGATCAAATGTCGTAAATTGATTTTTGAAAAAAAATAAAAATTTTAAATTTTACTCACTTTTCATCGTTTTCATCTCTTAGTTGAACAAGCTTATCACTTTGGACTTTAACCACAGATCTGAAGTTACTAATAAGCTTCTTGTCTTCAGCTGGAAGGTTGAAAAACTCGTCGCGGTCTGGCGTTCTATCCAATCTTCGCTGATAGAAATTTTGATCGACTCCAGCCGCCATCTTTGAAGTTGTAAACAAAGTTGCATCCTGGGATATTTTCTAAATCAGGTCTTTATATTTTGTTTTGTCTTGGACCACTGAACTGTAATATATAAACAGTAAACACACACCATATCTACTTTTGTCATATGATATGGTATTTTTATGTAATTATCATACTGACGCCTGATTAATACATAAAAATATACTGAAATATATAGTTATTAAATATTTCTGAAGACCTGATTTATTAATTGAAAAAGTTCAAAAATCAAAAATATTGTAAAAAGTCAGTTTTGCATGAATAACCCACTATAAATTACATGGCAGCATAATGGGAGTGATCCAAAAGATTTGTGGCTTCACCTTTGGAGTTGGACTGTTTCTAGGAAGCTTTCTTGGAATAGTTTTCCTTACCACCCCCTTTTTGCCCCTCATGATTTTGAAGCCAAAATGGTACAGACAGATCCTTGATGAAATGGTGGGATCCTGGGAGGTATTTGCAGCCGTAAGTATATATTTGATATATGGCTATTGAAATAATATCTGATATCGAGCCCCTTAGACTCTTGAAGTTATTTCAACCAGCCAGTCCACAAGACCGTCCATGTCAGATGGCTACGGATGGCCTAGATATGAACCGAATTCCTACCTCAAACATTGGTCCGATCTTTGTATTTTATTTATTGAAGATTGTACTCCGACATCATCGCATTGAAACTCTTGAAAACTGAAAAAATTTTACAAAAGTTTCGAATCTGCGAACAAGGATAAATGTCGTAGCATTATAAACTGTGAATAGCTGTTTTCTTATTGGTCGAAATGGGTAGTAACCTCGTGGAAAAATATGTCGTTAGGTGTAAAATTTCTGATTATCTGAAGCACATTATAAATTGGGAATTCTAACAGGAGGCATTCATTCCTGCCTATTACAATATTTACTGAAGAGAATAAAGTGAAAATTACCCCAGAAATTGCATGGGAATTTAATAAATTGAATGACTACACTATAGTGAACATACGGAACTGAATTTTTTTTCGTCTAGTGTAGTCAAAGTACATGTAAGTTCCGGTTTCAGTGTTCATATTTTTGATTTTATTTATTTCTTTTGGAACTATTGGCAAATTTGGTCAATTTTTGATAAAAATTTGGTACTGGTATTGAAGCAGGTGATGATGAGAATAATAATAGGGCTATGAAAAACAAGGCATGACAAGGTAGGCCTACTAGTCACGGTAATTCTTTAACATTTTAAGGACTGGTTAGTTTTCACTTGGGCCGGTGATATAACAGAAGTTACAGGTTCAGGTAACCGATGATGCTTAGCCTGGACTGGTTGAAATCATGATTTTGCCGGTCCATTGGTCCTGTGAGTTGTGTTTGCTTTGGAAAAACACTGACGAAAGACCATGGTGCTGATTTCTATGGCAAAGAACGCATGATTGAACTTCAAGGAGAATGGCCGATATTCTAGCGATATAGATGACAACAATGAAAATTTTGTTGTCTGACATCATAACTAGCCATAAATTCATAATCAGAGATCCGAAAGATGAACTAATTTACCTAACATCTTTCAGTCACTTCTTGAGTGTTTTGAAATTGTTTGTTTGGAAATAAGACCAAAATTCGCGATTAGAATTATGCAAACCTGTCAATCAGTATAAAGAGGAATACCAAAGTGCATTGAATAACTCAAAAAAAAAAGTTTGAAATGCAGCAACTTTTTAAATCAAGAAAAACAGTACCAATGATAGAAACATATTTTTAAACTTTACGCAGGTCCTTTAAACAAATGATGTTGAAAATATATATCACGCCTTACTTCACAATAACTCTTGAATGAACCTGTTTCATATTGTATTGTACTTATGATACACTCCCTCTCAGAAACTATGGCATGATGTGATAGTTGACTTTGTTAGACTGTGTTACATGCCGCATTGCACCACCTTCACTTGTATGTTTGTAAGCTACCTCTAACTCTTAGAAATATAAATTGCAATGAATGCTATGGTGAGACTCTTGTTTGCTGGTGAAATATAGTCATAGTCTCCAACTTTTTTGAGGACGGTAATGGTTGGCCTTCAGTGGTTGGTGTCTGTAACAAATGGCAGGTGGTGACATTTTGCATGTTAATCCCTTGTCTCATATGTAGTAATATTATGTAACATAACCTAAATGACCTATAGTAAATAAAGCTTTATCTGGGAATCTTCTAATATTCAGTGCAGTATTCAAATACATTTTTCAATTAGCGATTTGATAATTAACTCAACTGTTATCTTTCTTATTGCCCTTCGGACCCAATATCTCTGTTATAATAAGTGATTGGGCAAAATACCCATGAGTAAATTGCCACTGTGGTATTGCCCTTTTCGCATCTTTTCTCCCTAAAATTTGAATGAATTATCTGATTTTTGTCATTTCTATATGGTTTAGAGTATTGGTTATATGTCTGGGTATTTTATTCCTTGCTGATTCCACTCTTTTACTTCTTATTTGGTTTTTAAAATTTGTCTATCGTGTTTTTTTCTCAAAGATGACCTCTAGAAATCTACAAAACCTGCCTTCACTGAAGCCATGCTCATTTAGAAAACAAATCTAGAGAAACAGGAGAGAGAAAAACAAGAACTGTTACAAAATTGCTACTCCCAGCTTTGTGAAGATCGCATAATTTATCAGAATTTTGAAGAAAAAGGACCGTAGACAAAAAAACAGTTAAAGAGTCATTGAGAAAATAAGTAACAACTTAGTTAGATATTAAGTGTGTTACTGTTTAAAATATTAGTCCTTATATTAGTAATTTACTATTATCATACAGTTTTCTAGAGAAGACAAAAGACAACTGAGTGTATTTAAAGTTCTTAAACTTTTAAAAAATACTAGTATCACGTTATGAGTTTCAAACGAAAAATGGAACAAAATACTGTACATATTCACATTACCTGGATTTAAGAGAAATACATAATTTGATTGAAATAAATGAGGAGGAATATATGTATTTTCAATAATATCACTGAAAAAATATAATGATATATATCTATGGGACGTAAAATAGAAAAACATGCATAAACATTTTACTCAAAGCTACCAACAGTCATTTATACATGATATTGTAACAGTACTTTGTTAATTATTTCATATTCTAGAGGAATATAAGTATGTATTAATTGACATTAATGAGGATATAGGACTGACATTTATACTCCAGCATGTGGCAGGAAGATAAAACTACATGCAATTTTAGACAGTACAGGCCTATATATAAAAATCGTACATTCATAAGATTCTCATTTAAGTTGGATTCAATTAAATATAACATGGAATAAATATTGGTATGATGTAAATCAAATTCAGGAATAAACCCCAGAGGATGTACAATATATAGAAAACAAAATTATTTTAAAACGAAAGTGAAAAAAAGTGAACTGGCAAAAGCTATTTTGATCGTGAATTATAATTATTGCTGCAGAAAACTAACAATTGATGTCAAAGATTATTAAGTAATAGTATATCTTAGTATTGTGAATAAATGTAAACAGAACGTAAACAGATAAATATCAAAGATCATCATGAGTGACATTTTAACCAAAATTAATCTTGAAAAACACACCATGGAACAATCTGAACATTATCTGATAAATAACAACCAAATATCTAAAGAGAACAAAACTCGCAGAGGAAAAATACTCTCCAAGATTACTGAGAATATTATACACCGGAGCGAAAGACGAGCGTCTTTGACAAAATTTTGGAATAGCTGCAAAGTGATTTTCTTCCTGCTAGTTATTTTCTATAGCAGTATTACAGGAGTCGTCATTTTTAATGGAACATATTTTCCTCTTGTGTTGTTTTTCCCGATATTATATCGACGTGTAGCTGATGAGCTCGTGGGTTATTGGCTCGTTTTGCTCGTGGTAAAAATTATATCTAATATATAAAAAAAAATTTTTAATTGACATCGTCTATTCTTGTTCTTTAAATAAAGACTAAAATGAGAATGAAATACAGCAATGAACCTATTGTTTGTAAAATCATTGTTGTTTAATGTAAACATCTCATTTAGAATACTTGAATTCCTTTCGGGACAGAATGTATTGTTTTACTCTTTTTAGAGTAAGATAAAAATGAATTAAACTTCTACTATTAACATGAAGGTTGACAATTAACATGAAGGTTAACACCAAATATGCTATTTGACATAGAGGTTAACATGATAGCAATAGTATATCTTAAAGTCTCCATGTAAAGTTTAAATGAATTTAAAGGCCCCATGTAAAGTTTGAATCAGTGGCTTATATTGTAATTGTCATCTTATCCAATATCATCCAAATGTGATATGTTAGCAAGCTCTTTTCATTGAACTATTTTTTTAAATGACTAAGCGACTTTAGGAGTCACAAGAAGTTATACAAATGATTTAAAAATATATCTTAAACTTTACACGGGACCTTTAAATGATAACAATTTTTAATCAAATGTTATCTTTTTCCAGGGAATGTTGGAGTTGATACTTGGGATTAAAGTGGTAGTGACGGGAGATGCTATACGTCCTAATGAACGCAGCCTCATTGTGATGAACCACAGAACGAGGCTCGATTGGATGTACTTGTGGTCCTGTCTTATTCGCTATGGGTCACTGAAAAATGAGAAAATCATACTAAAGAGTCCACTTAAGCACATCCCTGGAGCAGGTATGCTAAAATGTTTAAGTAAAATACAGTGCGGATACTGAAATAGAACTTGAAAATGGCGGACACTACGCAACACATTTGCGCACAATAGCATGAAACAGCCGCATTCGGATACCTATTTGCAACCGAATACTCGAGTATTTGTTTCACCCCAAGTGCAGATACTGAAATAGAAATTGAAAATGGCAATGGATCAGTGTTCTCTCGTCTAAAGCAGAAAATTCACAGTTTTCTTTTGCCTATTTTTCATGATTTTTCTTATTTTGATATCGCAGGTGGGGCAAGCTGTATTATTGAAATCTCAAGTGGGTGCAGAATCCACTTTCTTTGATGCTGATTGTTAATGCACTCACTGGCCCGGGGTTTCGATCTCAGTATACTTCTTAATATTATGTGCCGCCCCAAAGACCTCCATTTTGAGCATCTGCATTACTCCATTACATTGTATTTGCTCTCACTTTAATATCTGTGGTTTTTGAGAGTCATATAGTCTATAACATTGAGATCAAATTCATTAAAGAAAAATATTAAAATACTAAAATATAAATGATGCATTATCAGAGAATCAACCATACAATTTCTTTATGTATTTTTACTTGTATTTTTACTTGTTAATTAAGTATGACCAGACACTCAGGAGCTCTGAATAAAAATGCTAAAATAACAAAATGTGTTTTTCAGGTTGGGCAATGCAATGTGCTGCGTATATATTCATAAACAGGAAATGGGAGACTGATAAAACTATACTGACTACAATTCTCAATTACTTCAGAGATCTAGGACACAACACGATGGTACGTTTACAAATGGGATTGAGCAGACGGACATCGTGGTCACTCCTATTTTCTGCTTTTTCTCTCTAAAATTTGAATGAACTGCCTGATTTTCTTGCAATTCTATACAATTGAGAGAATTAACTACATGCCTGTTTACTTTATTTCTTGCTGATTTCTCTCTTAACCACTCTATTTTGCCTTTTAAAACATAACCACTGTCGGATATCCATACAATTACGAGTATCAACTTAACATGTAGCTACACGTCTGTTTATTTATTCCTTACTGATTATCCCAACAAACAGAGTTTGGTAGGCATTTAGTGAAGCCCTCCATCCGACAGTCAGTCAGTCCATCTGTCTGGAAGATAACTTGTATACTAGAATAGTAGACAGATTTTCTTCATATTTGGTGGAAAGATGTTTATTGGTGACTAGTTGTACGCAATAAAAAAAATTTCCAAGATGGTTACTGTTTCAAAAATGGTGGGAATTTTTGGTGAAAATTAAAATTCACAAAATGTTCCTTTTTCATATTCTGAGTTGTTCACCATGACCCCTAGGTATACATACAAAGTATGGGTGTCGGGAACAAATATAGCTTTATTATTAATTATACTCAGATGAAAGGTAATTTAGAGTGGGTTGCAAATATTGTATTGATTTTGTAATTTGGGCTTTGTAAAATTGGCCGCCCTATGTGAGATTTCGCAATAATTTTCTGTTCTCTTCAAAGTATGGCGACTTACACTCAAATTGAAGGAAATTTAGGGCAGATTTGCTTTATTGTTTTCCTGATCTGTGCCTCAGAAAATTCAAATTGTCTTTATTATTTGTGCCTTTGAAACTCTTAAATGGTAGATATTCTGATATATCTCTGTTTTTTGTGAGAAATACAGTTTTATATATGTTATAGCATTCATTGGGATTTGCTACTCCGTTTTCTAGTTTCACTCTTTTCTCCGATATAATTGCATTTAAATCACGACCCTTGCACCATTTTGTTTCAAGTATTGTGAAGAGGGTAATTATAAGTAGTTGCTCCAAAGTTTAAGTTGTGATGTAAAGTTTGAAATTGTTTATGTAGTTTATGTAATACTTCTTTTTATGATTCAATAGATTATTCTTGACATTTTGAAACACTCTAGAATACAAGTTCACTTTTAGTCAAGTATTGGTTGGTATATGTGCTATCATACCTTGAATGTGTTAAAGGTTATAAAAAATTATTACATACATATCTAAAACAGTTTGGAGAACAAAGTTCATCACTCAATTAGCGCTACCCCTGCTTCGGACAAATTTGATTTTTTAATATAATATAGATTTGAATGACTTCTTTTGAATAGTCATATTTTAATTTGGGTGATATTTCTAGATTTTTTATAAAAAATGCTTAGCGCAGTACACTGATGAACTTCTTTCTCCAAATCGAGACTTGTATTTTTTTTGAATCGGTCTAAACATGGAAAAAAAATTTCCCTTACCCCTGCTTCAGACAATTGTGATACTTTACATTTTGTTGATTTAAATGTCCTCTATTGAATATTTATGATTTAGTTTGGGTTATATTTCTAAATTTTTTGGGTACAGAAAACGTTGTGCCTAGCCCTGCGGAGTGTATTCGTTTATATTACCCATGTTCTTCGGTCTATATTTCTTAAATAGATGGCACTTTGATATAATTATGTAATGTTATGTACCATGTTTATATTTTGAAGAATACATTCTTTTTTAAGTACACTACTTAATGCAATTAAATGCTTATGTCACTCAAACATAAATACACAGTACCAGAGTTGTCTTTAAACTCTCAAATATAAAAGTTTTCCCAATTACCTTGTCCATAGCCTTTGTGTTTCACTTATCTCCACCTGGACAATGTTTGCCATGTTGCGCCCATTTTTATGTCACCACCAGAAAGTGGTGACATATTGTTATCGCTCCAACGTTATTGTAGACAGTGTTTGGTAACTGGGGTTCAGTGCTTGGCATTTGGCTTATGTAACAAATGGCAAGTGGTGGCATTTTCATGTATATACCTTGTTAAAATTATCAATCAGTCATGTAATTTTGTTTTTTTGTCTTTCAGATATTAATTTTTCCAGAGGGCACGGATCTTACAGAAAGAACTAAAAAGAAAAGTGATGAGTTTGCAGAGAAAAATAACTGGGAGAAATATGATCATGTTCTTCACCCCAGAACTACAGGGTTTACATTTCTTGCTGAATTAATGCGGAAAGGTATGTTCTTCATGATAAAAGCAGTGTTGTTATAATGACATGTGAGAAGTTAATGCAAATTGTACAAGGCTTTTTCCATTTTCATAATTGAGCTTTTTCATGTTATCCATCTTGTCAAAATATTTTTGCCTTATTATAGTTTTGAAATCTCCCTGAAGTCTCACTCTTTACCAGATTTTCAGATTTTCAGATTTAACCACTATGGACTGTCAAATTTTTTCTCTTTTTTCTCTTGATTAATTAATTGATTAGATGTAGAACATTTAATGTAAATGATTTTTGCTTCTCTCTTCTTTCTGATTGAAATAACTTTATCAAGTTCAACTTTTACATTTTAGGAAAGGAAGTATAAGTACCAATGAATTTATATAGTTTTAAGCCTAGCCCTAATTATTAAAATGACTCCAAAATATTTTTCCAGATGGAATGCTTGATGCCATATATGACATCACAGTCGGCTACCCATACTCATTCCCACAAAATGAAACTGGGCTTTTCTTCGGGGAAATTCCAAAGGAGGTTCATTTCCATGTAAATAGACACTCAAGTGTGATGTTACCTTTAACGGAAAAAGGACTAGAGACTTGGTGTAGAAATCGCTGGGCAGAAAAAGAAAAAACTCTAAAAGAATTCTATCAGTATAAAACGTTTGATCGTGAAAACAAACTCACTAGTTCTAAACAAAGGGACGCTAGGCCTATATTAATAATGGCTCTTATATACTGGACGCTGTTCATCATCTCAATATCTGCTATGTTATACTATTCCATGATTGCAAAATTATTCTTACTAGGGTCATCAATTTTTTATATCCTACAACCAAAGCTATTTCAAGGATTTGAGTTTTTAGTAATTAAAATGTTTAATAAGTTTTATCAATCAAAGAAAAAGGAAAATTGATGATGCGACTGGAAACTGGAAACAGAGGGGACTGTAGACTTAATGTTGGGATTGTTTTATCAAGATTGCTTATTGCAAATTGTCAATGTTTGTTACTTCACTTTCATTCACTACGCTGTTAAAGCTAAGTTCACACCAACGGCGCTTTGATGGCCCTTTAAAGCGACCTGCAAAGCCGACGCTTTAAAGCGCCATCAAAGCGTCGTTGGTGTGAAGTTAGCTTTAGCACTTGCCAGTATTTATTATTATGACATTCATTTGAAGTCAGGGACATATTTATTACAAGGTGTACATAAAGTGAAAAAGTGCATGATTTTGAAAATACTTTGGCCAAACCATGGGCTTTCGAGAGACTGTCTGTTGAAAGCCCATGGCCAGTCATTCAAACATTATATTCAAGGTAATGAAACTTGTTATACATTTTCAAGTTGATTTGATACAATGGCATAGATACATGTACACAAATGTCAAATACACTCAAAGTGAATGTTTTATAGAAAAGATGATACTTTTGAAAAACATAAAGGAATAAAATTTGAAGAAATCTTTATGAATAAATTCTTTTCCTTAACTACATTTGATGATTTTGGTGGGAATATTTACATATTAAACAGTTGACCAAACTGAATAAAAAGTCAGCAAGTCATTTTTTGTATCAAAAATAAGCAATTTTTAACAATTTAAATTAAAATGAAAAAAAAATGTATGTTTTATATCATCTTCAATTGCTTCATTTTCACTTCATTGGTCACTATTGGCGCTAATTTTGTGCGAGTATTTAGCTTTGTGATGGTGTACAGGCCCGTAAGACACTTTTCTCCAAGGGGGGTGCGGTTTTTACTAAAGAGAATATAAAATTGTCAATTTTTTTGCCGCGTAAATCAAATCGCGTAAGTCAGATGGGGGGGGGGTCGATTACTCCCTATATCGGTTTGGAATTAACAAAAACATCTTCTAAACGTTCCAAACGTTTTTGTGGGGGTTGTGAGGAGTGGTCCACTCCCCCTAGAAAATTTTACAGTTTTGAGATGCTATTTGGTGCTTTCTGGGCACTTTCAAAGTGTATGAGTCGATAAGAAAAATGTGAATTTTTTTCAAATTAGTTTGGGGGTGTCAAAAAGTAAGTGGGGTGGGGTGCCAGAGGGGGAGCAAGGGGTTGTCCCCCAGAAACATTTACCATATCAAGGTGCTATCTGATGATGTCTGGGCACTTAAAAAATGTCTGAGACAATACATGAAATTCAGAATATTTTCTTTTGTTTTATGGGGGATGTGAGGGGTGGCTAACTCTCCTAGAAAATTTTACAATTTAAAGATGATATTTGGTGCTTCTGGGCACTTTTAAAGTGTATTAGTCAATAAAAACATTGAAAAACAATCACAATTTTTTCCAAATTGTGGGGGTGTCAAAGGGGAGGGAGGGGGGCCAGAGGGGGAGGTGGGGTTGGGGTGCCAGAGGGGGAGCAAGTGTTTGTTCCCCATATCTGTCCCCCAGAAACATTTACAATATCAAGGTGCTATTCGATGAAGTCTGGGCAATTTAAAAGTGTCTGTGCCTAAAAGTGTCTATTTCCCAAGAAAATTTTACAATTTTAAGATGCTATTTGGTGCTTTCTGGGCACTTTCAAAGTGTATGAGTCAATAAAATATTTGAAAAATCTTAATTTCTCTTTTTGGAGGGTGTCAAGGGGGGGGGGGCTGCCAGAGGGGGAGGTGGAGTGGGGGCTGCCAGAGGGGGAGGTGGAGTGGGGATGCCAGAGGGTGAGTAAGTGTTAGTCTTCCAGAATCATTAACTATATCAAGGAGCTATTTGATGATGTCTGAGCAATTTAAAAGTGTCTGAGACAATACATAAACAAATTCAGAACTTTTCCATTGTTTTGTTTGGGGTGTGAGGGGTGGCCCACTCCCCCTAGAAAATTTTACAATTTTACGATGCTATTGGTGCTTTCTGTGCACTTTCAAAGTGTATGAGTCAATTAATTGGGGGGGGGTCAATGGGGCGCCAGAGGGGGAGGTTGGGTGGGGATGCAAGTGCAAGAGGGGGAGCAAGTGTTAGTCCCCCAGAAACACTTACTATATCAAGGAGCTATTTGATGATGTCTGGGCACTTTAAAAGTGTCTGGGACAAAACACTAAAATAAATTTAGTACTTTTCCATTGTTTTGTGGGGTGTGTGAGGGGTGGCCAATACCCCTAGAAAATTTTATAATTTTAAGATGCTATTTGGTGCTCTCTGGGTACTTTCAAAGTGTATGAGTCAATGAAAAAAATTACAAAAAAATATTTTTCAAAAAAAAAATTTTCAAAAGATTTTTTTTCAAATTTTTTTTGGGGGGTGACAAAGGGGGGTGCGGTCGCACCCATCGCACCCCCCCCCCATCTGACGGCCCTGGTGTAACAGTTATATATTAAATTCTAGTTCTGTCCCCCCGGGGTTCTGTCTAAATGTGATTGTGAATTGAATTGTCTATGCATTCTTCTGTAAGACAGCAGATTCTGAATTCCAAAAAGGAACTAATACTTTAACAATAATTATGATTACTGCCCCTAATTCAGTTGTTTTACCAGGCACCTATTTACATTAGAGAAGTAGATGGGGGGGGGTCCACAGTCTTGCTGAAATCCTCATTTTCTCAGAAGAACTCAAGTTGATGTATAGTCTCAACAACGGAGAGTATTGTCAGAATCCATTTTTATCGTACCTAACAAGAGGTACGATATTGTAGTAAGCTTGACGAACGGCGGGCGGGCGGGCGGGCGGGCCGGCGGGCGGCGTCTCACTTTTCAGCTTGTCTACAGGTTTCCAGCCAAACCATTTGAGGGATTCATCTGAAATTTTCAGGGATGTTTCTACATATCAAAGTCAAGAACTGATTAGTTTTTGAACATTCTGGGTAAATTTTAAGGTGGCCATTTTGGATTTTCCGTCCTAAAATCTTCACTTTCAAGACTTGTCTACAGGTTTTCAGCCAAACCATTTGAGGGATTCATCTGAAATTTTCAGGGATGTTTCTACATATCAACGTCAAGAACTGATTAGTTTTTAGGGCATTCTGGGTAAATTTTAAGGTGGCCATTTTGGATTTTCCGTCCTAAAATCTTCACTTACAAGACTTGTCTACAGATTTTCAGCCAAACCATTTGAGGGATTCATCTGAAATTTTCAGGGATGTTTCTACATATCAACGTCAAGAACTGCTTGGTTTTTTGGCATTCTGGGTAAATTTTAAGGTGGCCATTTTGGATTTTCCGTCCTAAAATCTTCACTTTCAAGACTTGTCTACAGGTTTCCAGCCAAACCATTAGAGGGATTCATCTGAAATTTTCAGGGAAGTTTCTACATATCAACGTCAAGAACTGCTTGGTTTTTTGGCATTCTGGGTAAATTTTAAGGTGGCCATTTTGGATTTTCCGTCCTAAAATCTTCACTTTCAAGACTTGTCTACAGGTTTCCAGCCAAACCATTTGAGGGATTCATCTGAAATTTTCAGGGATGTTTCTACATATCAACGTCAAGAACTGATTAGTTTTTGGGCATTCTGGGTAAATGTTAAGGCTGCCATTTTAGATTTTCCGTCCTAAAATCTTGTCTATCGAGGCTTGTCTACAGGTTTCCAGCCAAACCGTTCAAATTTTTATTACATATGTTACACAGTGATAAGTTCTAGAGCTGATTAACTTTTCTGCGGCCATCTTGCTTTCTTGGTCAACAAGACCACAATGCTGTGTTTTAGGTACGATATTGTTCACGTCTGTGCCTTGTTAATAGTAAGAATAGGTGTTCTTAAACAGGACATTAAAGCTTAACTAAGGCCTTTTTTATTTAGATTTTTGGTGAGTACGAGATGGGAACGAATTTTACTTAAGTTGACGTCGTGGGTTTCGTTCATATGTGAAGAGGCCCCAACTGATAGTGTGTTTTGATATTACATGTATTGCTAGAGTCCATTTTCAATAGTAAGCATAGGGGTTCTAATACAGGACATTAAAGATTAACAAAGGCCCTTTGAGCTCACATAGGCGGGCTATTGTCATGACCCACTTGTCTGTTTGTCTGTCTGTCTGTCAACGCAACACACAACACAAGTCGCAAACATTCAAAATGGCAACCATTCAAAATGGCAAAATTAGCTTTTCAACTCATTTTTGGTCATAACTCCACAAGTGTTCCCTCAATTTGCTTGAAATTATACAGGTAACTTTATTTCTAGATTATCAACAATGTTTACAAGTGTTGGACGGCTTCTGAAGCATGCGTCAAGATGCGCTTCGGTTCGCATGTTTAACATGTTTAAGTTCCCAATCGCCAGAATTGACAACTTATCCAATTCGCAAGACTGCGTTTAGTGGATTTGTTCTTTGTATGGGGCCTTTAGAGTTCATAACAAAATTTGATATCACTGTATTTTACGTGTTCCTCGGTCCAAACGTCAAACATTTCACTTTGAGCCACCGTAAAATGGTTTTTTCCAATCACCAACAGCTCCCTTCCTCATAAATTTAGACCTAGTGGTGTCAAAGAATGGACTTGTTTCATAATTCGTACTTGGGTTTTTGGACATCGCCTCAAAAGTAGTATGCTTAAGGATCTCTTCCATTTCAGCATTAGAAAGTTGCGTGCGCACAAATTCTGCTTAGCGGCGTATTTGCTTTACTGGATTTTTCTTCACATCTTCAAATGCGACGATAAGAATATTGTCGTTAATTTTACTGGCTTCATAGAACTCTATAACTTGTTCCATGTAGTAACCATATAATACATCGCCGTTCATGAACATCTCGAGAAAACTGTCCCATGTTCCGCTATACAACCCCAAACCTACAAAATATGTATGTGAAGTGAAATGCTTCACTCAATTCAGATTATAAGATGGTATTTATCATCGAACATTCTGGGAAATAAGATGTCTTCCAACGAATTGACAAAAACAAGTTGAATATCCATATTCATGCGTAATGTTGAAATTCTAACGACTCTGCTTTACATCTTCTATATGACTTTAAAGTTTAAACTGCATCTACCTTTTGTCATTTTGTAAAAGTAAAAATAGGAGACGACAACGTCTTTCGGGTTCCGGACACAGTATATGATTTTCCCGGCATTCTCTGGTAGCATGCGCAAAGGCAGATGAGTCTTCAACAGGCGAGGCTTGGGCAATTTGTCCAGGTTTCTTATCTGATCTACGGTCATGACGTCAATGAAGGGGATACGTTCGATCAAAGGAGATTTGATCGTTTCTTCAATGTTGCCCTTGTGCGTTATGAGGTCTGTAATTTCTTGTACCCAAGTTGTACCTAATGTTGAATAAAATACATAAGTGAGAAAAATTTACTTGTGACATTTTTGACTTTATTAGATTGAAATGCAAATCAACATATCTATTTCGTTATTGGTTTGGAGAAAGATATTATCATTGATACGAGGAAGATCTATTCTGCCACTAAATTTTCATTTTCCAATCCATCCCGTTAGTAGTAAGTAGTTATTCACTAGGAGGAATTTAATATGGGGAATATCACAAGGATGATATCATAATCAATATTGAGTTTTTAAAATATTGATGTAATCCATATCAATTCGATAGGTCATCCGATCATTATGACTTTTATACCATGATCAAGGGCAATACCTCCAAAATTCTTATTTTTGGATGAGAACAATGAATGAAACTTTAAAATATTAATGTATCATGTAGTTGATATAATAACTGTTAAAACGTAGGGTTAACCCTAATGTCTGCAGGGGGGGGGGTCAAATTGACCTCTTCGATTTGTTTCCGGCAATTAACTTTTTCGAACCTTGAGCCAAAGATATAAGGTACTTTTTGACGTAAAAATCAGGTTATTTGGAGTAGAGGGGCAAAGTTATGATAGTCGGAGGAGAAATTTATAGAATATAGCTAGATAGTTACATGTACCTTGTTTCTAAGGCTAGAAATTGCATAGTGATCATTATCGGTCTGTTTTCATTAAACACATCGAATTCCCTCTCCGACATGCTTTTTTTTATGAAAATAGAACCACACACTGATTCTTATTCGAAGTATATCTTGAATGTTAATGTAAAAGACAAAAACAAGTTGAACTTGTTGATTATTCAATTACGCGTTATAAAAATGTTACGGGCATTAGGTCTTTTATGTTAGTCTCAGGTAAATGTAAAAAAACTACTAAAAAGCATAGGTTAAGGGCGGTAGGAATAATTTCTAAATAAAGATGGCACGGTTATCAATATTGTCTATTTATAATTAGGATTCTCCTGCTGCCATCTTTATATCGGCCCAAAACATATGGGGAAAGATAGAATCGAATCCCAGGAGGATTTCCCCGGGGCGGATCTTGGAACCAACTAGGGGGGGGGGCAAATTTCAGGTCTGAGAAAAAAATTGAAATTGTTGGGTCCATTTTCTTTAAATTTGGCCTAACATTAAAATACAAGGCCTCTCAAGGCCCATTAATGTCTAAAAAGGCCCACTTTTTGGGGCTTTAAGGCCTATTTAGGCTGGGCCCAATTTTTTGCTGCTTATTTTTTCGTGAAGCCACTCAGTAAAATTACGATTTCTCTGCAACCTGATGTCCGATCAAGATCATTCAAGTATCTATGTGACACGTCGGAACGTTTGCACGTGAAATTGACTTAATATATGACTGAAATCAATCGGGAAGACAAAATTTGACATTCACAAACAAAAATGCATGTGAAAACTATTTACAAAAGTGTTCCAGAGACTCTAATCTACTTGTCTAAGTTTTATTTGAAGATACATTGCCTTATTAAGCAGGTAGATGGGCATACAGAACACGGAATCAAATGCTATGTTAACAATTTTCCATATTTCAGTTTGAACATGTTATTACATGTCACGTATTCCAGTATTTTATATGGGGATTATATGGTGACTTGTACTTTACTTGTTAAATGTGAACGTATTTATCTATCATTACATGAAATCTGCAGTCTTCCGGGTTTTATCTGGGTTTGTATTGACGTGTCGCAAAAAGCTCGCGCACGCATTGTTACACAGTTTGTGGCGTAATCCAGAGGATCCTCGCTTTTAACATGATAGAATGTGACGTTTTTGAGAAAAATGTACACACATGAAAATCCTTTCGTCCTCCACATTTACCTCTATATCTCAAAACATTTTAGACGAATAACTCTGATATCATATATATATTGTTAATGGGCTAGGAGCATCATAAAACACGAATCAATTGATATATTAGGTGAAATAAATATACGTGTTGCTGTGCTTGAAAATTAGCCCTATTTTAATGAATTTTGAAAACCTTTCGTCCTCATCTTTTCCACATACAACAGAAAACACATACTTTTGTGAACAAAATCAACTATTTATTAATAAACTAGAGTTTAGGAGCAAAATAATCATGTATGATTTATTAAAAATTGATCTCGTATTTTTTGTTTAATGTACACCTGAAAAGTTGAAGGTACCAAAAAATGAGCAAAAAAGGTCGCTGTCAACAGATTCTATTTTTCAGACTCTATGACGTCACAATATGGGACGCTTACTAAAATTCATCCTTTGAAATAAAACTTCCATCTACCTTTATCAAGATGAAAAATAAGTATAATAGTCATATATTGTTTGAGTTATGAGCGTTTAAAGACGAAAAATAATTCAAAATGTAACGTGTCAACATGGGATATTTGCCAGATGTTTTGGTAAAAAACTCTTATTTAAAAACGAACGCGCAAAAAATGTGAACGGAGTGTAGTTGATCTAAAATTTTCATCGAAACAGCTTTAAGTAGAATATTATCTTATAATCCGGGGAATCAAAGTTACATTCACGCGATACCCTTAAAAAACAAATGCGCCACCTTTTTGCGACACGTCATTGTCTTCTTAGGGCTTTCTGACTTTAAAACAAACCTTACCTAAATGGATTTGTGTCTCGGGAACATTTTTGTAAATAGTTATTATAAACAATTCTGAAAGAATATCACATATTTTTGTCTTCCCGACTTCAGTCATGAATTACGTCAATTTCGCGTGCAAACTTTGGGTAGACGTTGTCATTAATATTACCGGATGCCCAAACGTGTCAGGAACACATAGATACTAGTACTCGAATGATGTTGATTGGACATCAGGGTGCAGAGAAATCGTAATTTTACTGAGTGGCTTCGCGAAAAATAAGCAGCATTTTAAGCCACATTAAATTCCTAATCAAACACGTCGATGAAAATGCTATATCCACTCAAAATCATTTGATAGCTGTATGACACATACCAGTTTTGCAGTATCCTGCCATAAAAATGTCGTTAGCCTGGGGTCTGATTTCGTTAATAGCATCCATCGATTCTTTCGTCACAAAGGCATTTAACAGTATTCCTTTATATGAATGCCCCCCTGGAAGTCCATGGTACTTTGGCAAGGTAACAACATGTTCAATAAGTTTCGTTAGATCATCCATTTTTAATTTCGAATAGAATATAGTTGATAAAGTTAGACTTTGTATTAAGAATCTCGATGCCACTGTGACCTTTGACGCTAACGTTACATTGGATGATTCATAAGTGTTTATAAAAAACATGTAGTCTACTGTAGGCACCTCGTTTCGAATCTCTGCTGCAGAAATTAACCCTAATTTAGACAACGTATTTTCATAACACTAATGGGAAGGGGGGGGGGGGGTTAGATGACTCCCCCCCCCCCGATTGCGTTTCAATGAGTTGAAGAGGTACAGTAAAAGCTAAGTGTTATGTATTATAGGTCATTCAAAGCTATTCTAGAAAACTATTGTATCGATATCATCCCGTCAACACTTTATCTTTGTACTACATGCCAATTCTACGAAAGAACTATTGACAGAAAAAATATTCGTGTAAAAATGTTACAATTGCACGTCGAATCTGCAAGTTGAATATTGATTTTTAAGTTCTAAGAAACACTCTAGTCTAAAATATGAGTCCCTTATCTTCCAATGCTCTACTTGAATAAGGGATGATTTCAAACGATTTAATTTCTTAATCGAGAACATGTGCAGTTGAATCATATGTTAATGTATATTACACCAATGAGCTGGTTCCCAGACGAAATCTAGAATATGAGATATTTGGAATTCCCGTAGTTAGGGGAATTCCCGTTTTGTTTTATATAAAAATAAATTGATTGGATAAATCATTCCTTTGGATAACATAACAGCTGAAGCACATTTACCAGAGTAAGTATTTTTTACATATATGATGATCTCTTATAATAATTAGGTTTATGATGGTGGGAAGTCAATTGAGAAAATTAGGTTAGTGACACGGGCGTCTGGGGGTCACCCTCGGGAGACAGGATATATTGCTACCTTAATTATGACATCACAAGCCAATAAAAAACAAGTACAATGTAGAATAGGGATAAGTATGAGGCTATGGATGGAGGACATAACCGGCCACCCAGTTTAAATAAATAGTAGAATGGGTAAATAACATTTGGATCTCGCTCGCTAAGGCTTGGGAAGACAATGAGAGATATTTGTGTGTAAAATAAGGCATCACATAGCCTCGCCATAATCAACTCGGCTGAATCAAGGGAGAAATCAATACCCGGGGATTTTATATGGGTACTTTCGTTTCGTTCAGTGGATGAGCTGCACGCGCGCGTATCTGATTATCCAAAACGCGGAGATGTACTGCGCGAACTGATAAATTCCCGGTATTGTAACGCCCTTGCCTGTATACAACAGATATTGAAACATTTAGATCGTGCTATAATCAATAATTAGATATTCGTATTTATTTATTTTATCACATTACGAATATCTAGAGTTTGTCAAAATCTACATGGGGACACCGTTATTGTCTGATTATATTATTATATTATACCTATAAAGATGTGGGAGTAAGTATTCGATGTCGAGCTCTTAAAATACTTCAATTGATAAAGCTTGTTTTATCAAATGAGGTAATATTTCTTCGAGGTGTTCTAAAATGATTTTTGTGTTGAGTAAAGTCCATCGGGTAATGGGAAATAAATGACGCAATCTGCCTAAAGGTGCCAACATACCATTTGAAAGGTGAAAGAGTCGGCTTTACGGATCTTTCAAAGGCTTTTTTATTTTAATTGCAATGATAAAAATATCTTGTCAAAGCATTTACACTCGAGTGGTACTGTACTGTAGAAAAATATTTATTATTATTTTATCTCGGTTTACATACTTCATGCATGTTACTTTAACTTTTAAGAAGGTCAGCATTTAAAAATGTATTGCTTTTTGTCATTTCAGGTCATATTTAATTCCATTAAAATGTATTTTATGGTTACATAAATTCTCCCCATTAAAATGTTTTGGACTGGGGCATACTGCAATTCTGGGACAAATAGCTTCAGTCTTTTGACCGTCGTTTCCTCAACTCGGGAGTTGCATTTTTGGCTCACACAGTGAGCCTATGGGATTGACCAGGCGTCCGTCCGTCCGTCGGTCCGTCCGTCCGTCCGTTGGTCCGTCCGTTGGTCCGTCCGTTGGTCCGTCCGTCAACATTGGCCGCACAAATTAAAACTGCTATTCGGATTGAGTCATATCTACATTCATTTTATGCATATCCATAATGCCTATTTGACCTATCATCGCCATTTCCCAAGTTCGCCCGGTTTCCGAGAAATTGCGGATTTTGACGTCAAAAAGTCAAATTTTCTGTAAATACTAGACACTTTGTTGAAGTAGAACTTTCAAATATTTTTTAGTAGTTGCTGTATATGCAACTTATGTCCTCTGAAGATTTCAAAGCTCTGGGAATTACAGTTTTTGGTGTTTACTCTATTAAATTTGACAAAAAGTAGGACTTAGTCATTTTCAGGAAACTTTCTCATGTATAAAGTCAATGGTGGGTTTTGTGATTGACAAGTTTCTCAAAGTTTGCCTTATACTTGATCATTTCTTGCAATGAGTTACATCATTGCTAGATTTAAGCATTCCCTACATATTGCTTAATATATGTCAGCATCAAATTTTTACCGTTTTTAAGATATTTGACGTAAAAAAACAGTACAAATAAGTTATTCTTCAACTTGCTTCAATTTGACCAATTTTTTTTTTTGAAAATCATCTACAAGTCTACAAGTTGCCAGGAGTTCATATCTGACATTAGTTTTAGGATTTGACCTTTACTTGACCTTCAGTGACCTTTGAAAGGTCAAAAAAGTTGATTTTTCAAATTGATTTTTTGATGTAAATTTTGGTCAGCTTAATCACAAAAGACCTTTCTGAGCTCTGAATAAGTAAAATTTTCAAGGTCAAAGGTCATCAAACTAGGTCACACAACTTTGCTATCTAAGTTTCTCAAAGTTCGAGACTATAAATCCATATCAATATTTTTGTTTGAAAGTCAGGATATACGTTCCTCTGAAGGTTCCAAACTGTGTGAGCACAGGACCGTGGGTCCTTCATTTTATACAATAAGTGATTGTTTTTTACTTGGGGAACTAAATATATCATACATCCTCTTACTTTTAAACCTTGACTACGCGTACATGGATGCACAAAATTTCGTAGATTAATTCAAACAAAGCGATACCCTAACCAATGATCGATCAGAGATATGCAAAAAACTTTTTATTATGTCTGATCAAATGTATAAAGTCACAGTGAGGACCATTGGCACAGTCTTATCCTGAGGCCCGGGTATAAAGTCATTAATAAAAAAGTCAGTCTTATTCTTCTACATGTAAGTAATTTATATATAGATTCAGTATAATAATACATAGCTCGCCCATTTTATTCAACGCATATTTATAAAGTAGAGATTATATCATTTTTAGATTTGACATGTCAATACTGTGAAAAAAAGTTAAAAACACCCAATGGATTGGATGACCATTCACACAGAAAGCATGGAACAGAAAGAAAATTCCCTCCTGTTTTCATTAGGAGAGGAAGACGACGCTCCAGGAACCAAATCCCCTGTGATGCAATGAGTAATCTTAATCTCAACGATGCGTATCACTCCGATTCAATCCTTATAGAGGTCAGTGGGTTTAATGTGAATACGTATATTGCGGAGCATCTCTTTTTGCTAATTAAATGAAATCCTGCGCTAAGGGCTGGTGTGAAAATGTTCGATCCCCATCCCAGTGGGGATCTAACCCACGACCACTCGCTTTCCGCACAATTGCACTACCACTGAGCTTTAGGACCGACTGGCGAAGGGTTGTGGGTTTGACCCCCACTGGGGTGGATTGACTTTTTCACATCAGCCCATAGCGCAGGATTTCATTCTGTGTTATCATTAACCAATATCGCAACTCAAAGGACTTGTATTTTGAAATATGATGGACCGATCTTTAGTGATTCCAAGTTCAAGATTTATGATCAAACTTTTACTTTGGAAAAAGGACTGCACCAAACAAAAAGCAATTTCAAGTTATTTTAACATATATCAATATTTCTCATCTTGTCATGTCACGATAACCTCAATCCAACTCATGACATTTACAAAGTTCTTGAAGGAACCAGGTGCATATTGTTAAACTACCTTATGAAAACCTTTAACTTTGTGAAATGAAGAAAATAGTTACATGTTACTGAATGCAATGAGATGCAATATTACTCCTTGAACCAAGGGAAAGATCAATACCCGGTGATTTCAGCGGGAAGTGGCGTTTCGTTCAGTGGATGAGCTGCGCGCGCACGCATAAATGTGATTATCCAATATTATTAGGGGAGGGCTATTTGAAATAGTTTTTGGTCTCAGGCGCGACCCGGGGCTGTTGTCTTAAGGACATTTCGTTGAAAATGAGCCATTCGGCTGATAATTGGTAAGAGTTTGCGATCTTATAATGTATAACTGTTACTCAGACACATATTTTGACACGATTCTGTTGGAAATAAGCTTTGAACCGAGAGATATTCACGATTGATATGCACATTTTTGATTGTGCCATTGCTTTTCCATTGCACAATCCATGTATTGATAGAAGTAACATTAATAATGCAGATTGGTTTACCTTCAATACATGGCAGACACTACATATCGGTCTATTAAATACCAGTTTGTGCCTTAAATAATTTTATATTTCCATCCACGGCCTGGAGCCTGGGTGTGTTTGTCTCTTATGTGTATGCTTGTGAATTGGTTGGGCTGGGTGGGCACCAATCCCCTGGCCCCGTCCACTCTTTATTCTACTTCCCACTTACTCGAGTCTCTATAGCCAATTACCGGAATTTCCAGAGGGCTGGAAAGAAAGATCTTCATGTTACTTCCACTACCACCAGGTACCTCTGGGGGTCAAGATTGGATTAGACATTTGAAGTAAGACTGGTCTATGACTGTGGCACGAACCCCCAACCCCCGGGCCCCAACCTAGCATACCTCCGGGCATACCTCACTTACGAATCAGTAAGGCTAGTAAGGGGGTACACGTCGGGGGTAAAGTAAGTATCATGAGGGGGGGGGGGCGTTGCAGAATTTAACATGATGCAAACTCGACATTATAACTCATCATGCTGTAACATTTTGACTTCGCTGGAAAACAATAGGAATTATTTTTCTTGCCAATCAATCATGAATCACAATCAAAATTTCAGAATGATCAATCAGGCAATGGTCCAAATCAAGTTATAACATTATATGATATTCAGCAAGAAGTCCGGTAGAAATATAGAATATTTAAACATCAAAGCTGAAAGTAAAAAGCTAATCTGTGAATTTTCTGTCTGCAAAAGAGCGTTTACATTTGACACAATGGTAACAGACTGATGCTTTGAAATCCAGGATTCCCAAGGAAAATATGACGTCATACTAATTAGCATAAGGATTTCCCCATTGGTCTGGGTCGAGCCTTGTTCGAAAACACAATCCATAAATACATGCTAATTTCTAAGGAGATAGGAAGTGTATAACGTGTTTATCGATTTTGTTTAAAGATTTAATCAATTATCAAATTGTTTAGTGGATAAAGTGGTCACACTTGCTTCAATTCATAGCGTAATCGACGGATAGAAACTGACCGAATTCCCGATATCCTACCCCGTATTACTGTAGGCTATAAGCACAGTGACCCACAGAGGGCGCTATCACAAACAAGTACTGCACGAACCGATAAATTCCCGGGTATTGTAACGCCCTTGCTTGAACTGAATGTAGGTTGATTATCTATATTATTTGCTAGTAAAATGCATTTTGATTTTGTTTTGTACATAGAGTTTTCATCTATTGATAAAGCTAATATTTAGTTAATATAATTAAAATCGGGATGGGCTGTTACTCGTATCCTACTTCGTTGATTGACTTCTTCGAAGTTGTTATCATAGATTAATCTTGTGATCTTTGCGAACTTGTGCTTATACGGAACGCCTCACTCATTTGCGAAGAACGTCAATACAATGGCTTCTTATTCTATCCTTCAGCAAAATCCTAGCTACAACGTGGATAAATATATCAAGGAAGAACTCCAGCCAAATGAAGCATTCCATAGACCATATAACCAGGATATTGATGCGCTGGTCACGCTGATGCAAGCAGACCTAGCTCAGGTGCTTTCTTATGATATCCAGGAAGTAGTAAAGGTAGGCCTAATAAAGAATAAAAGAGAATAATTAACTGAATTAATCCCGTCAGTCAGTTTGGCTGTTCCTTTTGGATGATTTAAGGTTTGTAAGTGACTTTATTCCGAGACCTGATGTAGTGTGTAATTGTATGTTTGAATTCACCAATTACAACGGGCTTGATCAGGCAGTCCTATGTGTCTAAACAGACAGGTATACGATGTGTTAAACGTTACCAAATGTGTCCATCGTTGTCACTCTGCAGTTTGACGTATTTTAGTACCAAAATGCTACGACAGCAAGAATTTACGCTTTCTCTACCGAAAACTGCTAAATGCGTGAGTTTCTCTACATAGGAGCCAAACTAGAGCTAGAGGTGGTGCACATCGCCACAGTGTTGAAATGTCTCAAAGGGATGTTGTCAGTTGTGGATAAACCTTATTGTTTGTCCCCTCATTCCCCTCGTATTTTGAAATGTTAACTTGGATTTCAATAGATACTATTTTATTTTAGAGTGGCTCATTGGGAAAAGGGACGGCTGTGAAGGGAAATGTTGACGTTGATTTGGTAGTTTTCCTAAATGGCTTCAGAAATCAAAAGGATTTTATTTCTAAAAGCCCAGAAATTGTCGCAAACCTTAAATCGTTTTTAAGAGAAGCAGGAAAACGAAGGGATATGTCAATAAACATAGAAAAGACGTCCAGCAGCGGTGCAGTGCAGTTTAAGTTTAGAAGAAACAATGGAGAATGGCATGATGTTGATGTAATGGCAGCATTTGATAATATAAGACATCTTGGATCAGTTGGTACGTGTATTCTTGAAAAGCTAATATCAAAGTAACACATTAAAAGATTGTAGATATTGTACAATAGTGTTTTGGCGCTGTCATCACCTTAATTGTTTTGATCTTTCACTGTTTCACTGTTTTGATCATTTACTGTTTCATTTGACCCCTCATTTGATTTATCTGTTTTCTCAAGCTCGTGACACAAAACTGGTGTATGGCGGTCAATTCAAATCTGTTTATTCAATAGTCTGATGCATTTCGTATGATGTGACTGATATTTCAATCACTTCAAGTTGTAATAAATTGGCTTTATATAGGTCTGGCACTCACCCTTTATATTATCGGTGTATGTTTCAAAAATTTAAGAAAGAGTGAATGCGGAAATGGCAAGACAATCGGAGGATGTCCGCAAAACATACGCTGCCTGCCTCACGAAGGAGCAGCTAGAGTTTGTGAGAAGTAAACCAGCAAAAGTAAAGGATTTGATCAGATTGGTTAAACACTGGAAAGAAACTCATGTTACGGGGGTTAGTAGCTACTGTAACACTTGATAAAACCCGGTTAAGGGGAGTAGAAGGGCTAAATACGAGTTAAGAGAGTTTCGAACAGGGTGACACAAAAATATGCCACCCACTAATTTTGGATTTACTTTCTCAAAAACGAAGGAATCTTTGTGGTTTTTATGTGTAGTGATAGAGTGTTCAGTGAAAGTAAGATTGGTATGCTAGCATAGAATCAACAACTTGGAAATTACCCAATAAGTGAGTCAGTGTTCATCAAAGACGAAACTGTTTTAGAAAAATGGGTAGAAATGACTAATTAATGATAATATGAAAGCAATCCAGAAATGACGGCTCAGACAGAAATTCCAATTTAATAAAATTGTATTTTGAACATTTTTCAACGAGTTCACTGAGAACATACTTGGTTGGAAAACGTGATACCACTAAAGTTAAAAGTTGTTGATACTCTACAAGTACAACATTCTTCCACTGAACACTCTATCTACACAGAAAAATTCCTTCACAAAGATTCCTTCATTATTGGGAAAATTCAATTTGAATTGAATTGCGTATTTGTCACACATTAAATCTTCAATTACTTCATCATATATCAATTCATTTTTTGGATAACAAAATTAGGGTTGTAAAGGAAAAATGTGTGTGTTTATTTGCAAGTTTTATTTCTGACATTGTTCCCTCTACAGTAGAAGTTATTGAGTCCGTTGCAATAAGTTTAGGGATGTTTACTAAATATGTTTTGTTATGTTCAGGTTTGATTGAGAAGGATTTACTTTCAGGCAGTTTTATTATTTCGAGAGGCAGTAATCATATGCACAAATATATCAACATATTTGCAAAAGTATTAGTGTTTCAGATACCTTCACCAAAGTCATATGGCATGGAGCTTCTTACCATTGAAGCTTGGAAAGCAGGTGGTTCCCTTCAAGATTTCAACACAAGGAAAGGATTCTACTATGTCTTGAAAAAACTTGAAAGTTTTGGCAAACTCTGGCAGACGCAGAAGAATTCATCGAGGTGAGTTAAATCATCATGCTTGACAAAGATATAGAGTGAAACTTGTATACAATTAGGCGAGGCAAAATAGAATGGGTGTAGTGGTACATCAATTCATTTGAGCTTGTTGAACAAAGTAATAGTTGAAATAACTTGAGAATAAATATATTTCTGGAGCATTTTGAGGAAGCAATTGCCTTGCCTAGCTTATACCTGGCTACGCCCACGCATATACACGTGGGTTGATTGCTTCCCCCTCTGTATAAAAAATCAAGACAGTCAAACTTACAAAAAATTAAATGTGGATAAAATCTATACATGTCAGCCGATAATGTGATACTATTTATCACTATCATTTTTATTTCAGCATACTAATCAAGGATATCGCAGACCCTTTTGCGGATGTCTCCAAGCGCTACGACCACTGGTATGAACTGGGTCAGAAAGCTGGGAAATGTGCAAAACAGAATCTATTTTCAGATATTGGCCTTTCTGATCGTTCTTGGTATTAGACAACCGACTCCTACAAAGGAATGACTGGAGCTATCTTTGGACTTTAATACGATATTATTCCAATCGTAAATGATATTTCAAAATGACTTATCTAGATATACTTAATGCTTATCAAGTTTATACTTTTAAAACCAAAGCAATGTTTATATATTATACTATATTGAAGTTTTTCATTTTAATATCGAATTTCAAAGGACTGGTCTATGTACTTCATGCTTACATGTATTTACAATTGCAAAGGAATGCTTTGACTGAATAAGTTTACATTTTAACAAAAATGCTTTATATAATAATAAAATGATATTTTATTGTGTCATGAAGGCCAACTATATTCTATTACGTTTTATGTGTGAGTACCACATTTTACATTTTTATGTACTGAACGTCTCAAATATGTATACAGGGTGTTTCATGTGTATGTAATCCCCCCATAGACTCATGTATGTAGTATTGCCACCCTATGGAAAGAAAAAAGATACAACTTATCAAAGTATGTAGGTACAGGTCATTTCGTGGCGAATTTCTGGTCATTTCGAGGGCAATTTAAAGGAAAATTTTAGTTTCTGTATTGCAGATTTCTAGCACTTGTCATCATGATAAACCATGGCATCTCATTTCTTCTCAGCCCTGAGATGCCATGATATAATGAGCTTGATTTGGCGATCCAGGAGAGCCCAAAATTGAGGATTTTTGAGATCTTTCATCCCAGCTCATATTTCATTTAATTGGGGTCATTAAACTTGTGTACACATGCCTGTGCTAATATCTGCTGTTAAATACAATGCCTATTATGTAATGTATTGACATTAGGTAAATGATTACATGATAACTATCACACTTATTGACAGTTACAACTCTTCCCATCTGATGTGCTCAGATCACAGAATATGCCTCATAATATCAGAGCATGTTTCAGGTGAAACAGAAAGATGCTATGAGTATCAGAATGAGCACTTGTCATCATGGCAGAGTTCAGTCCACACTTGTGTGACAGTCATGCACAAAGATATATAGATAGGATTCATGCAGTGGCTTATAGGGAGGTTAGGGACTCTCTTGTGACTTCTATCGCTAAAAAGTGAGACAAGGTGAACAGATCACCGGACTAGGTCCAAAAAGGACTATAATACCCACAAACAAAATACCCACAGACTTTGATACGTTGTTTCTTTTTTCAGGGACAGTCCTAAATTCTGAAACTTTGCAATCTTAGGTAACTTTCCATAAGAAATAAAATTGTATATAACGCAATAGGGTGGCAATATGAGTTTATGGGGGTGCATACATATGAAACACCCTGTACATTACTTAAGTCCGGTTGTGGCCCCGTTTTGTATCCATTCAGCGATTTGTTGCAATAAGTTAAATGTTTCACTACTTTGAAAATAAATAATAATCTACATTTTATACACCATAGTGGAATACCATGGCCACCTTTTGATTTAGCGTTGCAGATCTCTCGTAAGGAGCGATAAGTATCAGAATGAGTCCCCCAAAATCAATTGTTTAAATGAACATGTTATTATTAACTGTACAAGGGAAATGCGTCCTCTTAATGGTGAGTCAAAGATGGTAACACAAACAAAGGTTAATAAGTCATTCAGCATAGTAATGTCATAGTTGGCACAATTAAACCTTGTTCGATGTTCTTTCATTCTATACTACACATGTACTAAGTGTCATTGGCATATCCGAAATGTCACAATTTTATGGTTTTACAAAACATACTTAAATTGTGTAATGCTTTTCATCTTCCTTTTGATCTTGTTTTAACTCTCTGGTGCCTCTATGGTTGTGAGCTGAGTCCCGGGTATACTGTCATTAATAAAATAAATCAGTCTTATTCTTATCCATTAAGCTTGTAAAAATCAGTCTTATTCTTATACATGTAAGTAATCTAGTAATAATATACATGTACATTGTATACACCACGCATTAACAACTCAGTTCACTAGGGGACATTTTAACTTTTTTAACGTATCCCTGGGCTTCAGGTTGTGAGTGTAGACATTTTCTTTGAAATAGTCCCATGATGAAGTCTGGGGATTCATTTCGGTTAATTTTGGCACGTTTTAATATTTCGAGAACGTTTTGTAAAATGGCCATAAGATTGTGACCATTGGGTACTAGACTAATGAAATTAAGTAGAATGAAAGAACATTGGTTCAATGTACCAAATATAATTTTAGCCCATGCTGGATGACTGAGTTATTAACACTTGTTAGATTTATGTTTTTTTACTCACCTTTTAAATGTTATCGTACCTTTACTTCTTATTAGTTGAGGCGCATGTTTTTTTCAATATTTTATTAATATTCAATCATTATTTTGATTCATCCAAAGTATTACCTTGCCTCACTAATCTAGCCATATATAGCAAATACATTTCTGCAATTTTTACTTTTCATATGAACTCAATCGATTACAAAATCACAAACTATTTACAATTTCGATATTAATCATGTACAACATACATCTTTTATAGATAAAAACACGATGATTATCCAAATTCAACAATTACATAAAAATACTGTGTTTGCAGTTCTTATTTATTATCAGATAGGGTTATTTCAAGAATAAAGGGCATTGTCGTTGAATTAGTTGTACAGACGCATGCCAATTCTAAGAAGTACCTTTTTTTAAATGTATTCGCGTGAAAACTTTACAAGTACACACATATCATCTGCAAGTTGAATATTGATTTTTAAGTTCTAAGAAACACTCTAGTCTAAAAGTCCCTTATCACCCAAAGTTCTACTTGAATAAGGGGTGCTTTCAAACTATTTAATTGCTTCATCGAGAACATGTGCAGTTGAATCATAATGTTAATGTATATTACACCAATGCGATTGTTCCCAGGAGAAATCTAGAACATGAGATGTTTGGAATTCCCATTTATAGGGGACTCCCCGTTCTGTTTGACATAAAATTGAATTGATTAAACAAGTCATTATTTTGGAGAATATAGCACATATTGATCAGTGTAAGTATTTTACATAGTATGATTGCTTATAATAATTAAGTTTATGATGATTGGAAGTCAAATGGGAATATTAGGTCAGGGACATGGGTGTCCGAGCGGTTTCTCCCTCGGGATCCAGGGAATATGACTTAAAATTGTGACATTACAATACATTATACAAGCTAACAAAAACAAGTATAATGTATAATACGGATGAGTATGAGGGTATGAATGGAGGTTATACCCAGTTAACATGAAATAATTGGTAAATAACTAGGTTATTATGTCGCGAGAGGCTATACTCGTAGTCGTGCGTAACTGGGGCCTCACATCACATGGCCTCGCCGTGATCAACCAGGCTGAACACGCGACAGAAAGGCCCCAGAAACTAAAACCAAGAATGTACCTTACATCCTCGTAACATTTGTACTATAATCAATAATTGGATTTCTATTCATTAATTTTATCACAGTATGAATATTTAGAGTTTATCAAATTGTACATTTACATGGGCTTAATCAAAACTTTACTGATTATGAAAAGTAACATTCAAGCATCTCTTTTGTTTTTTGAATGTGATATCAGCGAGTGGCATTATATCCTCTTCAACTTTTTGCCCATTTTATTATGTCACCACCAAGAAGTGGTGACATATTGGGGTGGTCTCCGTTTTTTTTTGTGGCGGTGGTTGGTGGTTGGCGATCGGCGGGCGGCGGTTGGCGCCTGTAACAAAATCTAAAACGTCCAATAACTTAACAAATACTGTTTAGACTGACTTCAATTTTTCCAAATCATCTACAAGTTTTCAGAAAGTCAAATCTGACTTTATATTTAAGATTTGACCTCCAATGACCGTTTTAAGGTCGAAAGGGTATTTTTTCAACTTGCTTCAAATTGTCCAAAATTTTCTTTCAAAATCATCTACAAGTTCTCAGAAGTTCAAATCTGACTTTAGATTTAGATTTCACCTTCAATGACCTTCTCAGAGTCAAAAAACTTGCTCAAATTGACAAATTGTTTTTCAAAATCATTCACAGAGGTCTCTCAATTATGTTGTGAGCAACTAGGTGGTGACATTTTGTCATGTTAATGCCTTGCTCAAATTTGCCTCTCCTACTTCATATAGCTTCAACTGTTTAATCAGCGTGATATGTCGTAATTCGATATGGGCTTAAAAATACTTCAACGGATAGCGCGCTTGTTAAATCAAATGAGATAACATTTCTTCGAAGTGTAATTGTTGAGTAAACGAAAGCTTCAAAGTCCATCCGTTAATGTTAATTAATAAAAAAAGTGATGCAATTCGTCCTCAGGTGAGAGCTAAATAAGGATCTGACCTTCTTACGAAGTTTCAAGTTAGCAATGATGAAATAAAATATTTCTACAAAGCATTTCTACATTAACAGGGAGACATTTCAATGAATTCTAAAGCATTGATTATTGTTGCTTACAGATTGATAAGCTACAGTTAGATCGAAGGTGAAAAAAGGGAAATGCCTCAGTGTCCTGACCCTGATTGTAAAGAAGATGTTGATGTACTAAGTGAACACATATGTAGTACGTAAAACTTTATTAATTGTAACATATATTATTATTGACATCTACAGGGTGATCATAAAGTAAGGTTGTGAGTGCTATAACTTTTCTAAATATTAAAGAATCTGGTTCATTTTCTTACGAAATGTTGATCTGATACATACACAAATAAAATTCATTACGCCACATTTAATATTCTGCATTTTAGGCAACCCATATCGAGGATACCAGGAGGAGTCAAAAAAAGAAAGAAAATATTCAGATATTGTGGTGTTTTCTTTCCTCATATGCATAGTTTCGTACTTTGGGAACACCAACATATTTTGTGACATTTAATGCATTCATTATTATTACTTTCCCAGGTTATCCTGTTAGGTGTTCTATATATTTTCATAATGTTTAGCACATTTTTGGTGACGTTCAATCCAGTCCATAAACACATGTTAAAATGCCATTCGCAAGAAAAGACCAGAGTTGGTAGATCACTCCACCCTGCATTTGGGATAATGCACCTTCCTATACAGCAATTCTAAGTTAGAATTGCTGTATAGCAATAGAATTTCTAACACAGGAGCAATTGGAAAGCATGAGGATCAAACAGCTTGGAATGGCCCCTTGCTTAAACAGACATGGCTTCCTCAGACTTTTATCTCAAGGGGGACTTAAATTATGAACTCCAGGGAGAATTTTTCAAGGCAGAGGTGGATCTGAAAAGGCGATCGACAGAGTGCGTGTGGTGAGTGAATGTGGCTTACAACATGAGTTCGTGGACCGGATTTAAAACGAAACCAAAAATGTGTCGAACATAATGGCAAATATATAGAACGCCTAAAATGAACATCTGGGAAAATAATAATAATATACAAAAAGAATGCATTGAATTTCACAAAATATGCTGGTATTCCCAAAATACAAAATCATTAAGACAGAAAGAATCACACATTTTCTTTCTTTTTTGACTGCTCCGAACGAGAGGTCATGGTTTCCACGCACGAGCACTTTTCATCTTACTTTATGATCACCCTGTAGACACATAACTGTATATCTAACTTTTGCTTACTATACGCTATAGTAATACCCCTCATTTAGCCTAAAAATTGACTCCCCTAATTCATGATATCCTAGGTGCACCCAGATGTTTTTATTGATAGACAAGAGACGGTTATTTGGAAGTCCAGACATTCTTCTGTAATATTGTTGTTCGTGCCTTTCTTTTAAAAGGAATTCCGTGGTTGTTGAAATAAAGATTATAAAAACAATATTATTCTTACAAATTTTACAAAATTATTTGCATACAAATACAAGATTAGACCGTTTGGGTAATCGAAGCATTCTTTACTGCATCTCTCTCCTAGTGTCAGTCGATAATGCACAATATTAATTAAATAAATTGAATAAAATTAAAAACATTTTGAATAAATTCAAGAAACTTATTAAAAATATTACAAGACAGACAATAATATTTTTGACGTCAAATATCATTTTCAAAAATATTATGTTTCTTCATATTATTGGCTTTCAAAGAAATATACAGGGTGGGCCAAAACGTGCATATTTTTATTTTGATGTAATTTTTTGAAAATGCATGGATTTTAATAAGATTTTGGCAGCATATGCAGGAATAAAGGTAAACAGACACTAGGTGAATTGTACTTTGACTTAGAAGTTTTACGCAAAAATGTGTACTATATCATGGATTTAAATTGAATTGGGATTGTGAATGATTATTGGTTAGACCGCACATTTGGTTTGTTCCATACCCGGCCTATTACTTCGTACATTTAAATATTTGAGATTGCACCCTTTTTAGATGTGATATGTGGTGTTTGCGGAAAGAAGTTAAAAACACCTAGAGGGAGAGATCAGCATTCCCACGATAAGCATGGTACAGAAAGAAATCCTCTTTATATAGGTAGAAAAAGAAGAAGAAAAAGATGCCCCCGGAGATCCAGGAATCAAACCCCTTATAATAAATTCAAGAAACTTATTAAAAATATTACAAGACAGACAATAATATTTTTGACGTCAAATATCATTTTCAAAAATATTATGTTTCTTCATATTATTGGCTTTCAAAGAAATATACAGGGTGGGCCAAAACGTGCATATTTTTATTTTGATGTAATTTTTTGAAAATGCATGGATTTTAATAAGATTTTGGCAGCATATGCAGGAATAAAGGTAAACAGACACTAGGTGAATTGTACTTTGACTTAGAAGTTTTACGCAAAAATGTGTACTATATCATGGATTTAAATTGAATTGGGAATGTGAATGATTATTGGTTAGACCGCACATTTGGTTTGTTCCATACCCGGCCTATTACTTCGTACATTTAAATATTTGAGATTGCACCCTTTTTAGATGTGATATGTGGTGTTTGCGGAAAGAAGTTTAAAACACCTAGAGGGAGAGATCAGCATTCGCACGATAAGCATGATACAGAAAGAAATCCTCTTTATATAGGTAGAAAAAGAAGAAGAAAAAGACGCTCCCGGAGATCCAGGAATCAAACCCCTTATAATACCATGGGTAATCTTGGTCTTAAAAGTTGCAAAAATATTAATGATACTTTCGCTCAAATTGCTGTTAGGAACTTGCTCCTTGCATAAACGTAACATAACAGAGCGTATATGTTGCAGATCATATTTTGTTTGCACACCAAAAGTGAAACAATACGCCATAAACAATGATGCAAGTTGGGCCTAAAACAACTGGGCAGAAATATGTAGTCATGCCGGCCCAACCAAAAATATATACTTACAAATACAAGCTAAAGCCCCATTTGGTAGTCGAACGGGTCTCTACTGTATATCTGGCCTATTGTCAGTCAAGCATACCCAATATTATAAGTTAATGATTTGAAGTGCAATACAGGATATATTTTGCTCGAGAAATTCCGTATTGGAACGAGACGAAGTCGAGTGCCAATACTGAATATCGAGAGCAGAATATATCCTGTATTGCACTTCAAATCATTCTATAACGTTTTTATCGTCTGATCCTCAGTATTGCTACTGAGAATGTCCCCTCCGTACCAATATTTTCTGTATTGCGATCAATGGGGACAATCTCAACAGCAATACAGATTGGCACAGCACAAGAACTGACCAATCAGAAGGCTTCATTTTACAGATCATATGATAATAAAATAAGTTAGTAATTGAAGACCCCTTGAATAAATATGAAATATCAAAACTATTATTTCCAGTTCTTTAATATTATTTGGCTCACAAATTTTACTCAGAGAAATATGTACCATGGTTTGTTCAATATGCTGATCATATTACCAATTACATTTATTTGTGTGAGATTGTATCCTTTTTAGATGTAATATGTCATATTTGCGGAAAGAAGTTAAAAACACCTGGAGGGAAGAATCGGCATTTCATCGATAAGCATGCTACAGAAAGAAATACCAAGAGTCTAAACTTTGAATATCCTTCCGATTCAATCCTCAGAGAGAGCCATGGGTTTAATGTTAATACGTATATCGCAGCGCATCTCCAACCAAACGAAGAATTCCACAGGCCATATAATAAAGACATCGATGCATTGGCCACAACGTTAAAACAGGAGCTTCCTTTCAGTGTTAAGGAAGTAGTTAAGGTCAATGATAAGTTGATAAATAAACCATTGAACTAAATTGTCAACCTGTAGCTCAAAGAATATGATGTTTATTTTAAAATCCGATGATCGTTAAGTGCATGTTAGTTCCGTTATATCGAGAAAAGATTTGTGATCAAGCATTTGCTTTAGGTTTTGGAAATAGGAAATCCCAGTAATTGGCGATTTTGAAATGAATGAAAATAGTCGAATAATGAACCCATTTGTTATTGTTTAATTTGAAGGATGAATCTTAAAAAGTGGCAATTGTTTGGATAATCAATTCGTCTAGAGTAAAAATAAATATTTGTCTCTCAACATTAATGTCTAATAGGAGATCAAGACGAAATTAACATATTCTTGAATTCATTGTCATATGGCATGTTCTTCGATTATGCCTGACACCAGTATGATCTGCGCACAAAGAAAGCTAAATTATCATGTACATGTAGGCCTATAAGTATGTTTTCCTGTAGGGTGGATCCCTTGGTAAGGGCACTGGCGTCGTCGACAATGCTGACGCAGATCTAGTGGTATTCCTGAACAACTTTAAAAGCCAAGCCAAGTTCCAACGTCAACTACCAGAATGTTTAACGGAATTGCAATCGTTTCTCGAAACCAAATATAAGAGTGGAGGGAAAATAAGGGGGATAACCCGCACACCCCACGCTGTGCAATTTGAATTTAGATCGGAGAGCAATGGTGAATGGCATGATGTTGATCTTCTGCCAGCTTTTGACATCGTGGGTGCAATTGGAAAAGGTTGAGTTATTTTCTTTGTTAATTGTATTGGGGTTTCCATAGCACTCAAGAGAATGAGTTCAACCCCGGGGGACAGGAGGTTATTTTGCATCTTGTAAAAGATTCTCCCTTAGAACTTGTTTTCAAACATTTTGAAATTCATTTTCAGCTGTTCGTGAACATGTCAAATGTTTGCGCCCCTAATAATTCTTATACCCTCGTAAGTTGCAAACGAAGATTTCTTCATTGTTTTTACAATCACTCCAACAATAATAGTTCAATATATGAAGATACGAATCCAATGTTTTATATAATAGTTGCAGTTTATAATAAGATAAGCGACGCCTCTAAACGGGACAGAGAATTCTATTCGGCAGCGTTGACGAAGTTACAGATTGAACATGTGAAGGACATGCCAACAAAAGTCAAGGACCTGATTCGTTTGATAAAAAACTGGAAGAACACAGATTTAAAGGTGAGTGTCCTTATTTTCCGAAAAATAATTGAGATTTAATCTAGTCAAATTTTAAAATATAGAAGTTATTTTATTAAATTGTACAGGGTGTTCCATATGGTTCAGGAATGATGCTGTATTTTAGTTGTTTTCTTTTCAATCTAGCTGAATTCTTGACAAAATATGTCCATGTTAGTTGTGAATGAATTGAGAAAGTTTTATATCATGAAGGTCAGTAGATCTGATAATATGGTTGCTATAGTAACCCAGGGGTAGGGTAGGTGGAGCAGGTGTAACAACTGGCAAAATATATGTCATATTTGTAAAAATAGTCGTTTTTTGTATGAAGTGTGGGTAAGTATTAGGTTGTCATAGTTGCATCAAAGTCAGAAGTTAAGTAAAAATGAAAGTGAATTCCTGGAAGTTAAAAAGAATTGTCATCATTGATGATATATCACAATCGAAAAACCTGTCATGTCATGGGTACCAAAGGAGAATAATCACAGGTCATTTTGACTGAGTGGCCATCTTGAAAAGTGAAAATGTCATCAGTAAAAGATGAATTTCAACTAAGGTAAACGCACAACAGACTGTGAAAAATAAGTTTTCTGCAGCAGTTAAAATTAAGTAACTTCGGAGTATATACGAGGACGTAATGGCAACAACTGTTACGCGGTAAACACGATACAAAAAAATGTCATTTTCCGCAACGAATATGGCATATTCACTTCAGGTGTATCACAGATTCACCAGCGGTATATGGCATACACACTAACCAATGAGAACGTGATACGGAAGTACGCAATTGTCAATTTGCACCGATTGAACGAACAATTAAACTTTATAAATTATTATAATGATTACTGAATCGACAGTTCTGTGTATCGAATATATTAACCTACGCAGAAGTATCAGTCAACAATCTCACGTGATAAACTTACTCAATCAATCCAGAATCAATATATTAGTACTCGACGCACTAACTATATTGGTAATCCAGCGTAGTTTTACATTTAGAGTCGATTCTCGCAACCAAGGCTTTCTGTATCACGTTTTCAACTGCGGTATATGTCATATTCACCTGTGGTATATGGCATATTCCGCAAGTGAGTATGACATATTCCGCAGCTGAGTATCGGGTATTCACTGAAATCAATGTATCTCATTTTCACTGCGGAATATCGCATACTCACCTGCGGAATATGCCATATACCGCAGGTGAGTATGGCATATTTACCCGTATCACAAATACCGCGTAACCATGAATGTATGCCATATACCGCGTAACAACAACCTCAAGAGTGTATGAGCGGTATAAGGGATTCAAATCAAGGGAATCTGAGACAGATAATCCAAAACATCTGATATGGCTGCACGCTCAGCCAAAATGACCAGTGATCATCCTTTATGACTCATGTCATGTCATGCCATGGGTGTCAATTGTGATACCATCAATAATGACAATTTTTTAAGTTCAAAGAATCCACCTTAACTTTTGCTTTAATATTTGACAATTTTGACGTAACTATGACAACCTTATACTTTCTAACACTTCATACAAAAAACGACTGTTAATTTACAAATATTTCATGTTTTGCGTGTTGCCACACCTGCTTCACTTATCTTACCCCTGGGTAACTATACCAACTGTATCATTAAGTCTATTGAGCTTCATGATATGAAACTTTCCCAACTTTAACACAACATATTTGGACACATTTTGATAAAAATTCAGCTCGATTGAATATAAACCACTTAAATACAGCATCATTCCTGAAACATATGGAACACCCTGTAAGATGTAAAAATGTCTAAATCATTCGCCAAGATAAGATTTAAATCAAAGGATTGTCCTGAAATAAAGTCAGAATTGTTAGTTATTCCATCATTTGACATCGGAATATTACAATTCATCTGTACAATACCCCTTAAGTAGTGAGCGTATCAGTGCCTCTATGCATAACAACCAAAGTAATAAAATTAACAATAACATTTAAACATGTTTTACCTTGAACATGATTGACAACATAATAATTATTCTAAGATTTTTTGAAAAAAGCATGACACGGAATAATGAGAGCAAAGGAATATTTAAAAATAATAACAATTTTTGAAATATAACACTTTAGTTCATGCTTATCGCTTTGCTTCCGTAAACTAGCCTCGCCTAAGGTTAACATTATGGAACATGCAGTTTTATACTTTACTTTTAGGCGCTGGGTGTTGCACCACCGGCCTCCTACGCGATGGAGTTGGTTACTATTAACTCTTGGGAAGCAATGGATTCGAGAGTGGACTTTGATATGAGAAAAGGATTCTTCCAAGTACTCAAGCAACTGTGTGACTCTAATGACAAGTAAGTATGATATACTACAAATAATAACACTAATGCCTCAGTCACATTTGCTACGGCGACCGTAGATATCGTGATGTACGAGGGTTGTCCCAGAAGTAATGCACTATATACTCCAACTTTCTTTAATATTCTTCAATTCAGCTGAAATTTTGTGTATATAACAATTGAAGATTTATCTATTATATCCTGAAGTTGCAGCATCAAACATTAATATTAAGTCTTAATATGGTTGCTATAACTATATAGGGGTGGGTGTGGGCGGGGCAGGTACCAATTTTTCTAATTATGAAAAGATGTAAAGTGTTATTTTATTAATATTTCTTTCCTTTAAATGATCAAAATGTTTGGGAAATTGTTAAATTTATTCAGCATGATGTTAACCAAGTACAAATAATGACATTTAGCACTGTGATGTCATAATACCACATTCCAATAGTCACAAATTCAAATACAGTCACAGTCAATAAATTACAAAATGGCTGCAATTCTCACCTGATAACAGAAGGCCTTGCGTTTGGTGGCCTAATTTCATACTTCATTTGGACTCACAGCCAAGCAAAACTTATGCTACCATGAAGAAAGTATATAAGGAGTATATACCAGATAGAACTACAATTATGAGGTGGCAGAAGAGATTTAAAAGAGATGATTTGACTCTGGATGAAAACTCCAAACATGGGAGGCAAAAACTCCTCAAGTCACAGTGGAAGAAATTACCAAGAGTGTTTGACCTGACAGGCATCAAAAGTACATAACATGCAAATGGCAATATTTTGAGAAATGTGAAATGGGACACTTAATGCAATATACATCCATTAAATCTAGGATGTGCTCATAGTAATTTAGTATCTTAAAATGTATTTTTGAGCATACTTCTCATAGCTACACAAAATGGTATTTGTTGATTAATTATTTCATATTTTTAATTTTTTGTTCCTTTTGACGTGACTGTATAACCTGCCCCGCCCTACCCAAACTCACCAACTTCCTTTTATTATAACATCAATATAGTTTTATCAGTCAACATGAAAATTTGTGGAATAATCAAAATGTCTCTAAGGAACATTTACTGAAAATTTCATGGAAAAATATCAAGTATTGATAAAGTGAGAGCATATAGTGCATTACTTCTGGGACAACCCTCGTACATTCATTCTGCAACATTGCGTCTGCCTATAGGTACTTGTCAAGGGCCTGCGACCTCCATAGGGACGCCATGAGGCAACCGTGCGTCAACATTGCAAAGCAAGGCCGCATAGCAACCTCTGGTCTATTTTCCACAATTCAAAATACGTAGCAAATGTGACCACTAAAGTGACCCTAGTTATTTTTCAGCGGTCGTAGGATTCAGTGGCGTAGCCAGGATTTGGTGACCGGGGGTTCTATTTTCATGTTATTCACAAATCCCCCCTTCATTTGGGTTCCTCAAATAAAAACCTTTTAGTGCAATTTGTACAATTACACTCCCTCCAAAAGTTTGGCAATCCTAACTCACCCATTGGATTTTGTATTAAAGGATCTTTAAGTTTGAATTCTTATATGCATAATTTGTAAAGAAAAAACTTTTGGAGGGGAAATATAATCCATTTTAATACCTTCATTAAGTTAAGTAGACAATTGAATTTGAATTTTATTTAACAAAAATGATGTCTTTATTTACGTTAAGCAAAGTCTGAAAGTAATAGGCTTTATCAAGAAACCTCTCTCATTGAAATAACACAGGACGTAAAAATTATTTTCAAAAATGACCTTGTAGCTTTGTAACTTTAATGTTTCGATGAATCTTTTACTAAAAATCTGATTTGCCTCGAATCCACCATTATTTCGTCTGATTTCTGGAAGACCCTGGAGCATGGTTTGTTACCAAGGAATATCAACTATTTCGCACAATTTATTCTTTAACTTAAGCTACTTCATCAAGAACAAAATGTATCACCTAATGCAATGGCTTATCATTATTTTGCAGGAATTTTGCTGGAAGCCAGTTCGGATCGAATGCAAGGTTATTGAAAATGGCGCAAACACCCTATAAATTCCGAAAGGTCGCTCTCCTTCTATGATAACTTTTCACAACGTTTACACGAATGATTTTTAAACTATCCGGGATAGTCGTATTACTGATGAAAACATCTGTTATTCAAATAAGTGGGTCTCGGTTATGCTTTGTTTTGAAAAGTTAAAAATATTTCTTTGGACGTCCCCAGAGCTCAGTGGTACACTCCCCTCCATAAGTTTGGCAACCTTAGCTTCCCATTGAACTGCGTGTTAAGTAAATAAAAATTCAAACGAAAAGAGGCTTTAACACGTAGTTCAATGGGGAGCTAAGGTTGCCAAACTTAAGGAGGGGAGTGTAAGTCCCCTGGACATGCTGGAGCAGATCAGCTGCAACTGATGATAAAAACGTTTTGGTGGATATAAATCATATATAAATACAAGCGACTGTTCGAATATAAAACGTATTTTGTTAAGTTCAGACGGCTTGGTAACAAAGTAGGCATTCATTATTTGAAGATTAATACCGTATGATTTTTCAATGTTTTAATTATGTAATTTATTCGCTAAACATATCATGACATTAACATGAAAATGGAGAGCAAGTAAACTGGAACGATAACAATTTGAATTCTATACAATCTCTTAGATGAGTGGAGTGTATCTGAAAAAAAATCATTTTTTGCAATGATTGATTTTTCTTTGAAAAAGTGATGGATAGATTAATACTGAACAAATGAAAGAATGAATAAAGGACGATTCTCGGTTTGGAGAACGAAGTTCATCAATATAAATGAGCATTATCCCTGCTTCGGACAAATTTGATTTTTTTTTGCATAATATAGATTTGAATGTCTTCTTTTGAATAGTCATAATTTAATTTGGGTAATATTTCTAGATTTTTAGCAAAAAAATATTAGCGCAGTACACTGATGAACTTTTTTCCCCAAATCGAGACTTGTATTTTATTGAATCGGTCTAATTGAGCGTTATCCCTGCTTCAGACCAATTTGTTATTTTTACATCTTGTAGATTTAAATGTCCTCTTTTGAATATTCATAGTTTAATTTGGGTAACATTTCTATATTTTTCATGAAAAAAATTATTAGCCCAGGAGACTGTTCTCCAAACCGAGAATCGTCCTTTGAACAAATGCTTGTGTTTATAAATGATATACGCTTTTAAATAATTCATTTCACAACGTTTTTAATTATCTAACGCAATTGGTTTCGGGGACTTGCCAGCCCCAGGGACGTTCTAAGAAATATTTTAAATTTTAATTGAAATAAAATAAAACAGAGATGTACACATTTGAAAGAACATGTGTTTCATCAATATTACGCCTATTCCAGATATTTATTCGTAAATGTTGTAAAAATCATTCGGAGTATGGTACATCTGCATTGTTTTCAATAACTTTCAATAACTTCGTATTGGACCAGAACTGGCTTAAAACAAAATTCCTACAGAGGACTGATTTAACCATTGCCCAAGATGGGTTATTTTGTCCGAGAAGAAGCAGCAAGTTAATTGTGCGAAATTATTGTTATTTCTAAATGTAAAATCTCATGCTCTGGGGTCTTCCCAAAATTAAATCTCACCCCGTGTGCCTAAGGTTGCAAAACGTTTTGAGGGAAGTGTAACTTCACTATGACATGTGTTTTAACAAAATAAGGCTCTCGTGTTCACCATAACAAATATCAATTCATTTACTGGTCATATAAACTTATGTAGTTTTCAAATAGCACAGTAATTTAATGTTTCTGGTAATAAGCATTTTTCCACAAAATGATATTTTGGGAAATCCTGACCAGGGGTTCGTTCGAACCCACCGAACCCCCGCTGCCTACGGCTATGGGATTGCCGTAGAAACATCAGACCATATGGTCGTAGTCAATGTGATTGAAGCTCATTCTCCCTTATGGGTGAATTTTCATGTGTCAAAATATTAATTTTTGACCTCAACCAAAATACTAGCTCTACTTAGTTTATGGATTGCTATGGTCTGGTAGTCTGTGTGTGAAAAATGCCAAGTGTCACCAGCCTTGTATCAAAAAGGAATTATGACGCATGGTATAAACAGTATCTTTAACACACATTTAATTTACAAACCTACGGAACAGCTCTATAAAATGCTGAAATTACAATTATAACATACCTATGATGATGTATAGTGCAAAGTGTACACAAGACAGCGGACCAATATAAGTTTTAAAAAGCCCGCGCCCGCTAACTTTCTGATTGGTCAAGGCGCTGACGTCATAACCAATCAATCGAAGATAAAACTGCGCAAGCAATTTTTCTAAACTCATTTCAATCATGTTCAAATCATTTGTTTGTCAATTCTATAAGAAAACGGTACTCTCTGACCAGTCTACATCATCATAGGTATGTTATAAATCGTTTATGTCACTATCGTGGCACATATGCCCTCGGTTCTCAGAGATCAATGTCCCTCCCAAGGTCGGGCCATATATCACTGAGACCTCGGGCATATATGCCACGATAGTGACATAACCTCTAAATATTGCCTATCACATACTTATTTCCTTGATTGCATATCGATATCATGGTCCTAACAGTAAATTGATATTTTCTATGTTAATTTTCGTATTTTTAAAAAGTGTGTGTCCTGTAACTTAATATCGTAAATTAATCCAGGATTATATATTAATTATCACACAAGAAATATAAAACCATGATTGGATGTATAGCTGCTGGTTTTAAGAAGAGACCCAACGTGCCTAAATATCACTTGTCATGATATGTTTGCATGTTCTTTTAAATGGTAGTCCTGCAAATTAGGGCCAAAATTTCCATTCTAGAATTCATAAGTTGGATTAGAATTTCTGATTACATGAACCCCATATCATAGTACACCCTGGACGAAGTGATAAGGTCAAAACAAGTGGCTCTGATTTAGGAAAAAACGATCTTCCTAAAAATAAACATGGCAGAGCAGGGGTGAGTTTATTTCTTTAAATTATACCCTTTCTTGGCCACCTGACATGTTCAAACTCGGTACATTGATCCAAGACATATCCACCTCTCTATATATAATATTGTAACGATTAATACTAAGAAACGAAATGAATAGGAATTGAAATAATATATTTTTGTAAATAACCGCAATATTTTTTTTGATTATTTTCGAAAAAATAGTAGATACTCTGTTTCAAATGCATTGATATTTGGCGATATGATAGTTTATGAACCAGGGAATGTCATATCACCATTATTTTTCTAATACAAGAAGTAATTTACGTCCCTGAGACGAGATTAGATTTATTTTCTGGAAAAAACGCGGCTCTGATTCCCACAGAATATATGGAAAATACGTGGAATGGATGTCTAATTAATAGGCTACATGTTAAAAGGATTTTAAAGATGAGTTTTAAAATGTGAAATACTTATATTATGTTTGTTTGGGGCACTGTATATGAAATATATACTAGATAGCTCTACATGTTTGACATGTCATAGATAGCAAATTATTTTGTTACCTCTGTTTTTATTAATTTATACTAGGATGAAGAAAATCTAGATTTATACAAGTGATGATTGATGAAGTGAAATATATTTTTGATAATTCATAAATTGCAATTTAAGAAAAGGGTATTCTTATATATATACTTTGTCATGATTCTGGTCATACAATTTTGTAATGCATACCTAATGCATACCTGACCTTATTTTTATAATAACTGTTAGTCATAACTATTTGAGTAAAAATTTTAATCATATTTTGGAATAATTATTATAGGTAATTATATGATTATTAAAGGTAATTACATTAATATTATAGGTAATTATCAACACAAAAGTGCAAATATCAACACTGTACTGTAGTTATTTGTTTTCTTAATTGTATAGTTCTTTACACAGATATAGATGATAGAATAAAGTTTATTTTTGAAAACTTTATTAATACTATTGTTATTTTAAAAAAAAGTGGAACTTTAACAAATACATTATATTATTCCTTTGCATTCATTCGACTAAACTGCTTAAAAGAGGGCTTCATCAAAATTAATGAGATTGAATCAAAAATCTAAACAATCACTGTGACTGCTTCTCAGGCTAAACAAAAGATACAGTAAGGCAAATGATTTGTTCTATAGTAAATGTCCAAGACGATTTACTAAAATAGTGGACATAAACATAATTCCCATTCATGTGCCATGGCAGTGTAAATAAAAGGGTTGTTTTGAGATCCAGAGGGGTCATTCATCAAGCTATCGCAAGCACGTCGCAAGCCTGTGATGTCGCAAGGGCCCTTTTTAGCGATTACGTCCTATTCATCAATCTCGTGCGACTGCGATGGGTAGAATTTTTTGCGACTTCGCAGTGAAATACCCCTAAAATGGCCCAAATTTAAGCGACCGGTGGTACCCAGTCGCAGTGATTTTAGTTCACGAAAAATGTCTTAAATTAGTTGAATTTCTTTATGAAATTATATAGAAATTCTAAGACGTATAGTTCGATATTCGATCCATGTTATATTAAAATTGCATCTAGCATATGCATTATGTTTAACATGTTTGTGATGCTACCAAAAACAGCTAGTTTTCGGCTTGTATTTTTAAGTACTTCACCGTGCGACCGGTCGCAGTGATTGTGCGTTACACGTGGTTTTGACACACGTGGCTGTTGTGTGCCCACTCAGTATCCATATTGTCAATTTTGCATGACACGTTAATCGTCTGTTGGAAGCGTTTATTCGTTCGAAATGGCGCAACTGATGGTTGATTTCAACCGTAATGGTCTGCGTAGAGAACGCGTACTTAGAGATCGTACAGATCCTCTTCAAATAAACGATGATGTGGACCTTATTTTGCGATGTCACATGCCTAGGGTTAACTATTATAAAGGTTTACGAAATGATACAAGAGGATGTCGAAAGGATAACTAACACGTGCACAGGCACGTCCACGTGGTAATCACTGCGACTGGACGCATGGACATCGCAGACTGCGATTTGTTAATGAATAGGTCGCAGTCGCAGTCACTGCGACCTCGCACGGTGGTCGCAGTGTCTGCGAAGTCGCAGTGATTGCGATAGCTTGATGAATGACCCCTCAGATCTTTGGACTTTGCGTTGACAACGGGCATTGTACGTCTAACAAGCTGCATGTATCTTAGACTCTTATTTCATCCAAAGGCCACTTCCACATGACTTGATGTAATATAAAGAGATTTTCGACGCTTCATAACGGCGATTGTCATAGGACATGACTGGAAAACGTTAAATTAATGAAACTAAATCAGGTATAGAAAGCCGCGTTTTATCACAAATCACCATCGCAAATCAATAACCGCTTATTTTCCTCAAATGTTCGTCGTCGGGAGTAAAACAATAGGCATCACATCAAATTAAAATAACTGTCGATGCTGTAAATGCACATATGAAAAGAAACATACAATCTCGGTGTGCATGAACGTTTATATGCATCATTGATCATCAATGAAAGATATTTTGACAATATAAAATCGTAATTTTTAGCGGGAGATATAATTCTCAACTTTAATTTACACTCCAGCCACTAATGCGCGTTCCATTCAATTTAAAACACACGAACTGAGTAGTTTAAGAGGTACCACTTGAACATAATACAAAATTGTATATGATTCTCCTCTTTGTCCACAAGAATTTAACCTTACAAAAATTGGGGTACAAAAATTATTAATTTTTAGGAAGATCGTTTTTTCCTAAATCAGAGCCACTTGTTTTGACCTTATCACTTCGTCCAGGGTGTAGTAGGCGGGACAGCACAAGACATACACGTCCTTTTCCCCGACAGCTTTTCAATTCTCAATAATTTTTCATGAAATTTTTACTGAATAAATTTGAAAGCATTGTTGTGTTGTATTTATAGTTTGGAGATTATAGATCCGGCAAATCCCTACAACAATGTGGCAAGTCGTTACAAAGAATGGCCAAGGTTGGGAAAAGCTGCAAAAATGGCAATGGACCAGCCTTTATTCAGGGACATACATCATAGTGACAGCTCATGGCGGTGAAAGTGCCCTGCCAAAATGCCAAGAAATGATACCAGGGAAAGATTTATGTTGATTGAGACACATGTTGGACTGAAGCTTTATTTTAATTGTTTTTAAAGCACTTGGCAACAATACAACCACATGGCAACCATGTTTCAAGCAGATATATACAATGTTGTACTTTGGATAAATCAAAATAAAGGTTTGAATATTGAATAACCTCTGCACCTCAACCAATCAAAGGAAGTACGATAACATTTAGATTGGCTTATAATTAAGAAAACGCATTTTCCCGGTTCAAATAACTAAACAATCAATCTGAAAGTACATTAAAAAGTACTTTCCTGACGCTTTTGGGCCATCATTCTTACTAACTATATGTAAATCAAAACGGGACTTTATTAATGCAAACATATTTGAAATGTAATGTACATATACAGCTAAAATGTGGTAATAAAAGCTTTCATGATAAAATAATATTATCTAACTATATGAAGTAATTATTTTTCAACAAACTGGTTAAACCAAAAAGAACATTCCTTTGCAATTGTAATTATACATTTACATTAAGTACAAAAACCAGTCCTTTGCAATACGATATTAAAATTAGAAGCTTAAATGTCAGCATAAAACTCATTCTTTTTCAATATGATATTAAAAGAAGAGACGTTCATCATAAAATATAAAGACTACTAGGCCTAGCCCTTTGTAATTTGATATTAAAAGCTAAGAAACTTGATAAGCATAAAGCATATATGGATTAGCCTTAGCTACAGGTCCTTGTGACCCCCCCCCTCCTCTCCACAAGTGTGAAAATGTGTGTAGTGAAGTAGTGGGCGTATTAAAGATCGCTCCAGTCATTGTTATTACATTGTAGGAGTCGGTTGTTTAATACCAAGAACAATCAGAAGGATCAATATTTGAAAAAAGACTCCTTTTTGTACACTTCCTAGCTTTTTGGCCAATTCGGCCGATTGAGTGTTTTGTTCAAAATTGTATTCAATTTTGAACAAAATACTCATCGGCCGGGCGCCGGTGCTGAAAATCGGAACAAATGTGACGAAGGCATTAGAGACATCCACAAACGGGTCTGCGATATCATTGATAAGCATGTTGAAATAAGAAACAAACATTCTTAAGAAGGCATTAACATGGCATAAGACGTAGATTTCACCACCTACTATTTGTTACAGACGCCGAACATCAACCTCCGTCCACAAAAAGTGGGAGACTATACAACAATATGTCGCTACTTAAAAGGTGGTATCATAAAAAAGATAGTGATAGTATCACATTATCAATTAACATCGTATAGATTCTATCCACATTTATTGTTAATTTTCACACAACTTCAATCTAAAATTGATAGATATTTCAATCACAACTGACAAGAACGTTGCGATGGCTCTTACCATGCCGCAAATCATGATGTTTGTTTATTGATTGCGTAAGTATGTTCAATTGTAACAGTGGCGACAGTGTAATGAAAGGTTAGTCTATGTTTTTTGAAAGTGCTTAAATCTGTGGACTTGTTAATGCTAATGATATGAAGGATGTTTAAACATTCGAATTTTATAACTAAATCCAATTTCTAATCGCAATTAAATTCAAGAAAAAAACGTTCATTTGGCATCGCTAGAAATGGGCGTAACTTTGAGGTTCTTTGCAACGGGCACCCTACAAATGACAAATAGGGACTTATTTGGAATAACCCAGGCATCTGTCTTGAGGTGGTGGGAGAGATGTCTGTTATTAGTTTGGGATACAGTATATTGTGTTTTTCCGATAGGCACCGACCTCAGTGACTCAAGGTATTTCTTTTTCGAGGCATTGAAATGTTCTAGTTTAAGGTAGAGAATAAAATAATAATGTTGATAACATACAGGAGTTTCACGTAATGGCATCTTAGGACCAGTAAACTTAAATGTATATTTCCTCTCGAAATAAACGCCCATGGGGTATTTTTAAAGGAAATGATAAATTACATGTACATTGAGCCTGTTTACTAGTATTTAAAAGGTCAATGTGCAGTATGGCAAGTGATTTTAGACAGTCATATCTTTCACCATGAGTACTTTCTGGCCATAAATACAGTGGTTTTTATAAAAACAATGTGTTTTGTTTCAAGTGAAGTACCAATGATGATAAAAATATCAATCGAACATTTCGAAAAATTATGAATTTTTTCAAAATGTTGAACCTATTTACTCAAAAGAGGATCTCCTTTGTCTGATTTTTATTGCACGAAAATATTATTCAAAGAGGGGTCTAAAATGTCTTCAAAAGTAGAATGGTATTAAAAGTCTAGTTTCGAAGATATCAATTTTCGATGACCAAAATAAGGCTGAAAAATGGATAGCACGAGTTTTCCCTATGGGAAAATAAAATGGGATATGTGGTTTTTAACTTAATACATTTCAATACCAATGCCCATTTCAGAATAATGTTTATATAGTGTAGAAGAAACTTTCGATATGGTTAAATCAATAAAAACAAGATCCTCTTTTTAGAAAATAAGCCTAACATAATACACTAATTATCCAAGACGGTTAAAGCATACCTTTTCAGCGAGTTGGATTGATATTCTACTATCACGGGAACTTCGCTTGAAAGAAAACATATTGTTTTTATAAAAACCACTGTATTTATGGCCAGAAAGTACTTATGGTGAAAGATGTGACCGTCTAAATTCACTTGCCATACTGCACATGGACGTTTATTGTCTTCGTAAAATGATCATGCTCCGGTGTTACAATTTCTTCCAAAAATTAGATATCCCCACCCCGAGTATGCAACGCGATCGATAAATTCCACAGATGATTACCAGGCCCGTAGACAGTGGGTGGGGGGGGGGGGTGGGGGCCAAATCCTTCAAAATCATGCAGTTTTTCACGCTTCCGAGCACTTCTAGAGTAAAATATTAACCCCTTAGAATTTTTTGTGCCCCCCCCCTTATGCAAAAGCTAGCTACAGGCCTGTTTACGTATAGTTTTCATTAACTTACTTATTAAACATTGGACCTTAGAGATAAAAACTATTTTACTTGATTCGTTAGCTGGAGTACAGTAGCTATAAAAATACAGTACGCCTCATTATATTACAATTGCAACTGTACCTGTTGAACATTGTACTCTAATGGAACACACCTTAAATTGTGTATGCAATATCAAGAGAATCCCAAATTAAATTCAAAGCTCTACAAATAGATTTTTAACGTTGTAGCAAACAAATATTATGTCGACGTCTTGTCAAAAGACTTGCAATTGCCAGAAATGTAAGGAACAGAGATTGTCAGTTTTGGCAACTGAAATATATGGCATTGTTAGACCCCAATACAGTGCCGAAGACTATGAAAAACAGAAGAATTTCGTAGAAAACATAGTAGATACTATCACCAAAAAGGTTGGCGATTTATACCCATTGTGGAGATCTAGTGAAAAGCTGCCGAACGGAAGTTTTTTCCAAGGGACAAAAATATTAAATCTTGATGAATTTGATTTTTTAAATCCTTTGGATATTTCATCAAATAAAAAGTTTGCGGATGAGTGTATTACCATCGTTGAAGTAGAGGATCGCCCTGGAGAGAGAAACATCATAGCGAGTCCATATTTTCTCGACCTTCTCTCGAAAGTCGGTGACAAGAGCGAAGATATTGAAGCGGTTGATGAAGCTGGAAATAACCCTGGAGTGAAACTCAGCAAAAACTTTTTTCTCAACAGCATTAACAATGCAGTGGTGCGATCACTGAAAGAACTAGATAAAGAGAGCGTAATCGCCTACAAAGGTCAGAATAACTTTGTCAACGATTCGGGGGTATTTCTTAGAAATAAGGAAAATGTAGACCCTGATTCTTTGAACTTCAAAGAGGTCGTACTTAGAGACGTCAAAGGGCCGGTCGTCACATTGTCCGTAGGGGGTCCGCTATGTGTGTCACATGTCGATATTGGATATTGTTCGTTTATACCTTGGCAAGTGCCTGCTTGAGTCGACTCAACACATATTCAGATTGTTGCTGAAACCAAATCCCCCTGGAATAAACATAAGCCCTGTATGGTTGGAAAACCTCGAAAACTTTAGCTATCCTCCTGTTCGTATTATTGGAAAATTCGAGCCAGATTCTGGGGATGCTTTGTTTACCGTCACGCTCTATATTCTCATGCACTTCTTGAGCAACTGCCAAGAGGCTGTTGAGCTTGTAAAGACCAGATCCGTTTTCTCCCTTTGCATTCAACTCATATGCAAACACGTCGTGAGTGGGTTAGATATGTTGGACTTTCGCCTTCCTTTACAAAAATGGCTGTATAAACAACGTCTTCCGACAAAAACCTGGCACAAAATAATCGAGTGTCTTAAACATCCTAGATACAGAGGTGATGAGGTGAACCATTTTCTGTCATTGCCGCCACATCCATATCCGAAATATAGACCTGATCCTAACAACCCCGTGTCTATAACCCAAGCCGGCACCCTGGACATCATTTCTGACGAAACGAGGCGAAACAAATGGAAAACTGTGATCGAGAAAAACATGTCGATGAAAGAAGAAGAAAAGAACGATCCTAATATTGATGAGGAAGATCGCAAAGCTCAACAGAACGATCGGGAGCTACATACCATGTTTGTGGATTGGACCGAGAGCATGAATCGTAACACTGCCTCTGGAGGAAAATCTGCTTGTAGTCCATCTTGAGATCTCATGGCATGGTATGTCATCTCACAGGTTACAAATGTTAAGCTTGTAATGCCTAGGTCATCATTTGCTCCGATTCATCATATCGGCTCGTCGCCCGGCCAATTGAGTATCTTATTCAGAATTGAAGGTCAAATCGCAAAGACCTTGTACATGATTTAAAAAAAAGGTTGGTCAATTTGAAGCAAGTTGAAATCAGTTTTGAACAAAAAACTACAATTGGCGGGGCGCCGGCCGACGAATCGAAGCAAATGTGACCTAGGCATCCGTCCTATGTTTAGTTGTCATGGTAGCCATATTATATTTGTTACCATGGCAACTGATCTTGTATATTTGATATATTACTATGTCAACAAATTATGGATAATGTAGAACGCTTTATTGCAACTAATTAGGACCCAATAAAGGGAACATTTGTCATATAGTGAAAGCTTCTATTACCATATGATAGAACTATAGCAAAGAATATTTTTTGTGTTTCGGTGAGGTAATTGTATTATCATCATTACCATGATTATACAAATGAAAAAATCATGTATTAACCCACCTCAATGGATATTTAAACCATTTAAGTTTCAGTTCATCAAAATTCCATTCTAGACTCAAAAACCAATACACAAGCTTCTAAATGAAAGTACTTTCTATTTTAAGTTCAGTTCATGGAGCACAATTTAGTTCATTGTTCATTGTAATTTTTGACTGTAATTTCAGATAGGCAAGATCCACACTTTCTTGAATAGAACAACAGATTTGAACAAGTGATCTACATACGTTGTAGTATTAAAACTATAGCAACACCGCGAAGTGAAAACACTACCTCGAATTTGGAATAGAATGTGAAAAATATGTTTAGGATTACATACACTGAAAAGCAGAACCAGTTGTAATGTAACAAAGCCCATCATTTCAACCAAAAAAACTCAAAGTGTCAAATGACCCAAAATTTTTTAATTCAAAAAATGTATATCCAATTATTATTAACAGATGAAAGTGCCACACAAGATGTTACATATTTAGCTAGAGCAATGTTGGAGCAAGCTAATTCATTTAAATATTGACAATGAATACGTAGCCCTAGTTATATATTATGTATAATATGTATGAATGTCGAAAAAGAAATAAATTGAAAAAACAATAACCAACCTACCAACTAACCAGACAACGAACAAACCAACCAACCAACTAACTGAATTAGAATACCAACCTACAAGACAACCAACCAAAACAGACAACTAACCAACCGACTAGACAAGCAACCAACCAAACAGACAACCTATCAACTGACAATAAAACCAGCAGATAAAACAACCAACCAACCAACTGGCAAGAAAACAAACCGACCAGACAACCAATCAACCACCCGTACGACAAGCCAACCAGCCAGAGAACCAGCTTATTAGACATCCAACCAACACGACAACCTACAAACCAGACAACCAACCAATCAATCAGCCACCCAACCCAACCAACAAACCAGACAACAGACCAACCAACCATACGACCATCTTACGAATAAGTTAAAACGAATAAAGATGATAAAAATGATAATGAAAGTCAAAACTTTGAAGATCAAAGTTCGATGTCAAGATCTAGGTCAACTCAATCTCAAGTCTTCAATTGAGCTTATTCACTTTCACTTTTTATTATTATCAAGAACTCAAAATCGTGTTCATTATTAGGCACCACTGGCGGTTCTGGGGGGGGGGGGGGGAATTGGGCCCAATAAAAATGTTGAGCCAAAAAGGCCTTAAGGCCCACTTTTGGGTTTTAGGGGCCCGGAAGTTTTTTTTCTCTGACCCCCCCCCCCCCTTTGGTTCCCAGATCCGCCCCTGGGCACGCGGTTTGTTTCGATCACAAACTGCATGTCTATCAACATTGCATCATACAAGCTGGACTCTGTGTTTTCAAACGTCATTTCAAGAAAATACTGCATATTTGTACCAAATTATGCCTATATGGCGGGTTGGGTTTCATTTTTTGGGCTCACTCTGTATAATTTATCATTCGACAATTAAATTGTGTCATATTTTTAATTACTAAAACAATAAGTACTTGAACGACAGTAATCACTTATTACCATGCATACTACATTGTTTTTAAGCAATTTTATCCTTTTCTCGAATAGTTTCGCCCACTGAGCGTTCATTAAGAAGTCCTTGAAATGAACGCAAATGGGCCTTTATAAAGAAGTATAAAAACTTTTTCATACACACATAACCCCTCTTTCAAATAAACGCCCATGGGCCTATTCGCGAGAAACTCTGGTTCATTGTCTCTGAAATAGCATTTCGTGAATAATTAGACACATGTCATTGCTAAAGATTAAAAATGCCTACATTTCGTCTCAATTGTTGCGCAATGTTTTTTTCAACAAATGATAATGTCGCTAAAATTTACTCACTTCGAGAGCCATGTTAGATTTTGAAACTAAAATCCAAATAGCTTTCGCAGGAAGTAAGCTAAAATCACATTCATATTGATAATTATAAATAATCAAATAAATAATGGTTCGTTTTTAGAGTAAGTACGTGTATTTATAGCAAGTTAATAAAGAACATTCTTTCAATAAATTGAGCTAAAATACAAAACCATGTAAAAATATCATTATTTCATCATTACAAGAACTTTATTAGAACTTTATAAGAAAACTAAGTCAGTGACCTATAATATTTATTTTCTTAAAGTTAACTCTGGTTAATAAACTAGCATGTGTTCAAAAATAATTATGAAGTACGATAGTTCCAATTGTAGTCCAGCATGTGACCTTGTCATTCGTTCTGATTGCAGTGCAGAACGTGGCGACCACCAGAAAATTTTAAGCATGCTATAAGTTCTGGAGGACCTGTTCGTTGAGTACGTTCATGACGTTATTTTCATGAAATTAATGTCATTATTTTTTCAAAAATAACTTTTTATACTAACATCTCCGAAGAGTGAAAAATAGGGAAATTTGGAGTTGTTGGAGTTTAAGTCAAGTAACATCTCTTGTCATGTCTCAAAGACACATCACTACCCCCTTCGTTCACCCTCTCTTCCGTTCAATTTTAATTATTTTCAATTATTTTCATATGACAGATATGGAAACTTATTTTTTACAGCCAACGATGACATTAATTTTGTGATGATAACGTCACTTACAAATATTTATTACAAGTCGTGTAGACCTGTAGGTGTTTTGAAAGCCCACAGTTTGCAATGTTGATATAGTTTAGTTTATACAGTTCATTAAAGTGACACAGATTCATACATAAAATACAATACTAAAATACATTAAAGTCCCCATATAAAGTTTAAACCACTTTGGCTTATATTGTAGTCTTACCCAATGTTATCAAAGTGTGATATGTGAAAGTTTTTTTTTAAATTTCAAAAAGTGGTTTTTGATAGACTTTTTGCTCCAGAATTTGTGAATTTATTTAAAGCTTTATAGGTCACACAAATCATACCAATGCATAGCATTCAACCTCGCATGTTTTTTTTGCCGGAAAAATTAAGAAAATCGGTTCATAAATAAGCGAGAAATGAACTTATCAGTGCATGAAAATGGTTCCGAGAAAAATGCGTTTTAAAATTTTATATAGAACACAATGGTACAATAATATCTAAAACATAATATATCCATCCTTTTAACCTGGTTAGACAATCAACATATTGAAGTCTAGCATATTTAGAAAAGATTGACATCAAAAAAGAAATTTCAATTTTTTTCAAAAAGTTTTTGCTACCTTAGTGACATCACTAATGTTTCAAAATATTTTTGATATGCTAAAACATTGAAGTGGCCCATTAAATATGGCATTTTATTATTGAAATAGCGTGTCCTTTGTTCAATCTTTGCATTGGTGTTAAAAAGATAATCTTTTTTTTTGAAATGCATTAAGAAATATTTGATGATTAAAACAATTCAACTTTTTTTGAAAAATGGCGGGAGATTTGAATATTTGAGAAATGAAATGCTCACAACTTTTTTTTCAAAATTTTTTTGACAAATAGTAAATGAATAATAAAAAAATATTTTCAAACTTTAGACGGGGACTTTAATAAAAAAAATTCTAGTCGATAACAGGTTATGAGACACTGATATGAATACGTAAACAGCATCAATATTACTATGTTATTACAAACGTTACAGATACATGCCTCTTTTGAAACATTTTATATAAAGAAGAAGCAGATTTATTTGCATGTCATTGTAGAGTGGAGTGTAATATTATCAACACTAAAATTATCTAGAATGAATCTCTTAAATATGAAAAGGTCATTTCTGATATCTATATAGTGTGTACAGTCTAACTAAAAATGTTTTTCAGATAGATTCAGATTCAGATATTTATTACTATTTTGAAAATTATATATGACATTCAATACAACATGACGCTCTCAAGAGCATATATGTTGGTTTTAACTGGACAGAAATGGGTCAGTGACACCAACAGGTAAGACAAATAAAAATGGAGTGGAGAAATACCTGAGAATGACACTGGCCCAAGTCTGTTGGAAATAATTTCAAAAATGTAAAAAATATTAACACTCGGGGACAGAGACACAGGACACGAGAACGGGTAATTGCTGCTAAGTTTATAATATGTATATATATAAGTTGATAAGACAAAATGTGGCAGAGTACAGATTTTCAATAGTAAAGACATTTTCAAATCTTTAAAACTATAAAGGTATGTCAGTTATTTTATTTTGTTTGAACAAAGACTTAAAAATTGAGAGTGAGGCTGCTTGTCGAATATGATGAGATATAGAATTCCAGATTTGCTGACCTTGCACTTTCAGTGAATAAAGGCCAATATTTGTTTTGAACTTGAAGGCATGGATATCATGTGAATGTCTAGTTTGATACCGATGAATGTCAACATTTAACGTAAAATAGTTTTCAAAAATCTTGCGGTGGACTAATATATTGTTATACCAGCAATAAACAAAAATTCCAACATTTAATTGATAGATATCATGCACTGGAAGTATTCTAAATTGTTTGAAAAGTGGAGCCGAGTGCTCAAACCTGTCTTTTCCTGCCATGAGACGAAGGTATGATTTTTGTAATTTGAGTAGTTTATCCAAAGCTGAATATACTCCGGCCCAAATGATTGTGCAATAATTCAAGTAGGAATATATTAAAGAATTATAAATTGCTAACATACTTTTTATGTTTAGCAAGTATCTGCATTTGAATGAGATTCCAATGGTTCTAGATATTTTTCTTTCTACATTTTTTATGTGACTTTTCCAGTCAAGGAATTCATCAATTGTTACTCCCAAAAAATTTATTTCATGAACCCTATCAATTTGTTTTCCATTTATAAATATTTCAATTTGTTGACAAATCTTTTTTCGTTTTTTGGAGAAGACGATGAATTTTGTTTTTGAATAGTTTAAAGAAAGGAGGTTTGCTTTAAACCAGTCATCAAGAGTAATGAGTTCCTGATTAACAGTATTTACAAGTCTAGTCAAATTATGGTCTGAAGCTAGAAGATTAGTGTCATCTGCAAATAAAACAGATTTAAGACTTTGTGACGCCGTGAACAGGTCATTAACATAAATGATAAATAAAAGTGGTCCCAAAACGGATCCCTGAGGGACTCCCTGGGAAACAGTTAGGGTGTCAGACAGGGCACCATCATAAGAAACAATTTGTTTACGATTTTGAAGATAGCTTTTAAAAAAGTTTTGTTCAACTTGTCCGACACCATAGAAGTCAAGTTTTTTATGAGAATATCGTGGTTGATAGTGTCGAACGCTTTTGACAGGTCAAGGAAGATTCCAATGGAGTATTTATCATTTTCAAGAGCTGATCTTATATTTTCGACAAAGGTCAAAATTGCCATATATGTGGAGAAATGTTTTCGAAATCCAAATTGGTGTAAGTAAAATAATTTTGATTCTTCAAAGAAAGTGTATAATCGCTTATGGACAAGTTTCTCAATGAGCTTGGAAAATACAGACAAAATCGATATTGGCCTGTAATTTGT